CAATAGTTTCTACCCAGTGTTTCTTCCAGACTTTTTTTCTCCGGGGGGGGGGGGGGGGGGGGGTGGCGGACACTTGTAAAAGTAAATGTTTACTATATAAATTCCATCTTGTTCGGGGGGGGGGGGGGCGGACACTTGTAAAAGTAAATGTTTACTATATAAATTCCATCTTGTTCGTCCCCCCCCCCCCCCACCGAAGAGATGCCTGGAAGAAACTGTTTCTACCTAAATCAGAAGTTTTCTATTAATCTTAAGTTATCATATGCGGATCACATTTGTGCCGAGGGAAGTTCATGACATTAGTATACTGGTGCACATTTTCAGAAGTGCACCGTACGCTTGTTTCATCAGGCGGTGTCAGCTTTTATTTTAACCCAGCACTGCTAAGGGCGGCTACAATAAACAGGAAAAGAACATCAAAAGATATAACCAGTCCAAGTTTTAGAAGTTGGTGCAAAAAGCTACTCGGATTATTCCCCCTTCTCGCCAAGCATCTATATATATAATTCTCTTCTGGGATCAGTTAGAAAACAAGCTGCAAGCGCGCCTTTGCAGTCCCCTCTCTTCCTCTCTATCACTACCACCCCCACCCCACCCCCACATGATCTGGTGAGCGGTGTTCACTCTGTTTACATTTTACAATCATAGAGACGGGTTTGGTGACGGCTATTAGGGGCAGATAATTTAGTGTGAAACGATTTTAAACTGAGAGGAGGTTACTAAGAGGAGGCTGCTTTCACGTGGGGGGGGGGGGGGGTTAGAGTTTTTAAGCAAATATTTTCAATGGCAGCATTGGTACTGTCGAATTCACAAATTATAAATTACTGAAAAGTAGAAAAAAAAACAACTAAATAGCGGCGTATGATACGCAGCGGGTCGGCTCGTTGCAAATATCGCACCTAAGATAACAAGAAACAGAAATATTGCCAAAAATCGTCAGATATTTTCTTATGTTTGATAACATCACTGGTTTATAGCCTTATAATTTCTTGCGAATAGCAAAAGAGTTAGTGTGAGCATGCCTTTGTATGAAGCCGATAGATTAAATTAAAATATGTCGTATGATGACTTTAAATTTTTAAAAAAAAAAACACGCTAACGTATAAATGATAAACCTAGAAATGTAGACATTCACCTTGATGACAATGTCTTTCAAATAAAATATTGTAACGACTTTATTTAAAACTACTATAAGTATGTTCCGCCAAAACATGCCGGATTCGTGTTTTTTTTCTTTACGTCAGCTAAAACCAAAATTTGCACCAGTGTAGGTTTTAACAGTGAGTCAGACGATATAGACATGTTTATGGGACATAGAAACTCGGGTCAACCACCACTGTGGTACAGGCCGACCTGACCCCGTCTGCTTATCGACACAAAGGTACAACAATAGATTTTTTTAGACCAACCCCTTCACCCCTTTTCGTGACACAATTTTTTTACCTCCCCTTAAGAAATAGATTGCATAACTGTATTGACTTGCAAATTGCGTCCCTTGTTGCTATGCAACAAACTTCGACGAGAGAAGGGAAATAACACACCTCGTGATTGTACGCTTAGATTTGCTACGTGATTTCTGTATAATTAAAGTAAATACCCAGATCAAATATAGGCATAGTGTGCAATTTTCAACCCAGCAACCAAGTGACAAAGGGAAGTAATAAGTTCTAAGAACGAAAAAAAATGTATTCTCAATACAGCTGTAAAATAGACCTACTCAGGGAACAAAACAATGCAATCGATAACTCAAAAAATAAAGACTTGAATAGTGCTGTGGAATTCATTGACGAAATAGACTCTGGCAAGTGTGAAGCTTCAGATCTGAACTTTGAACTTTCCAAACGGAATAGCGACCAACACGAGGAGTCAGGGACGCTAAGTTTAACCCAGTTATGGAGGCGTTTGCAGGATCCGCCGACTGAATGTCACTCGCTGTTGAAGAAACATTTAAACCAGTCCGTTTTTGACCAGCTGAAAAACCTCACGACTAAATTTGGTGGAAAATTGGAGGATTGTATTCGTTCTGGTGAGTAGTCGATGGAAAATAGAGGATTGTATTCGTACTGGTGAGTAGTCGATGGAAAATTAGAGGATTGTATTCGTTCTGGTGAGTATTCGGTGAGAAATTGGACGATTGTATTCGTTCTGGTGAGTAGTCAGTGGGAAAGGGAAATTGGAGGATTGTATTCGTTCTGGTGAGTAGTGAGTAGTCGATGGAAAATAGAGGATTGTATTCGTACTGGTGAGTAGTCGATGGAAAATTAGAGGATTGTATTCGTTCTGGTGAGTAGTCAGTGGGAAAGGAAAATTAGAGGATTGTATTCGTTTGGTGAGTGGTAGACCTTTCCCGCAGGATATCCCATCCGTGTAGGTTGCCACGGATTTCTTGCAGCAGACAACAAATGGCTCGACAAAACATTGAGCTAACATCTTACGCAATGTGCAGCCTCAATACAAGGTGTGCGAATATGTTAGGTGCCGCACACGTTTTTGTAGACTTCCTGTCGAGATAAGTTCTGTGAGAAAAACATTTTTTTTTCTACCTTTTCACTTGCTGCCCTTTTATCGGTCTCAAACTTTAAAACAGGACAGTTATCTTTAAATATCCGACCTTATCTACTTGCATCAGGAGGTCAGTTTTTGTAAGCTGTATTCAAACAATTGAGAAGAATGCAATGAAAGAAGAATTACCTAGTTGTAAACCTATTTTTATTCAATAAGAAACAGAATGGCCCACTGTGTTTATAAATTACCTGCCAACACAAACCTGGCCCAGTTTGATGACGTCTGCTAGGTGTAAGGAGGTGTGTTGTTATCTGCTTATCTTTGGAATCTCCTCCAGAACAGTCGCTGATATTGTCAATGATCTTTTGTTGAATTGTTGTGGCCCCGCGTGTAAAGAATAGAACATTTTATTTGTTTGTTCGTGCATTTTATCCACATTATTGAACGTTATTGAACTTGTCGATAAGCAAAAATCATAAAATGTATTCATTTATTTATTTATTTGGGGGGGGGGGGGGAGACGGGGGGGAGGGGGTCAGTAATCGTATAATTTATCAATATTTATGCTTAACTTAAACAATCGTAACTGGCTGGCTTTTTTTTATAACAAGGTGATCTAAGTATAATTTTTGAGCTACGTAACTACCAGGGTTTCTTTCGGAAAAATTGTCTCAATGAGGGGGGGGGGGGTGGGAGGGGGAGAGCGAATACTGGTAAAAGTATAATTCTCTATAGTCTATAGATCTAGTATAAATAATTGTTTTCCTAAAAAAATACTGCCGTTTATATTAGCTATATCTTGATCTTGGACAGCTCTACTAACCATATCTTCAAATCTTGATTGATTCTAATCTAGATTCTAGATCTAGATTCTAGATCCACCTACCAAAAACGGTAGCACTAGATTAACTACAATTTTTATTTTCGTCAAAAGAAACAGATGTACTAAATCTAGTTATTTCCCTTTGTAATCTCCCCTTCGTGATTGTTTTTATTATTACGAAATCTACCTTTAGTGAATTTATTTCATTTAAATTAGAATCATTTTTCTTTTAGTAGTTTCTTAAATAATAATTGTATTATAGTTTCTCCTATTTCTCAAACTAATTTAAACAATGGTTTATTAAATGTATAGCATTTGTAGGTAGCAATCGTTGTAAATAACAATGAAGGCTCCTTTGTAGTTTTTGGAGCTCTGGCTCTACAGCTTGCATCCTACTGCTATTCTAAAGTACTTTTGTCTTGAAATTTTAAAATTTACCTAGACTAGATCTAGATCTATTCAAGATCTAGATCTAGTACTTTGAGAGCTCTATTTCTCGAAAACTTTAAATGTAGAAAATAAACATGTAGATCCACGTCTCCGTTTCCCTGGAAAGTATTCGAGAAATAGATCTAGCTCTAGAGAGCTCCATTATCATTTATGGGTAATCTATCGTTTTGGGTACGTAAAATCGCCCGCGACTAGTAATGTGAAAAACAGGTGACTCCTTACATTTTAATGATTATTTCACATTTTGAGGAGGATTTATGTTTTGAAAAATACAAAAATGTTTCCTTGTTTCATTTATGTACCTGTATTTAAACAATTGAATTAAAACTTTTGACTAATAAATGAACACCAGCGATGTTTCCAACAGATGCAACCATGCTCATTTACTATAGCAGCCATCTTGTTAAAGTTTTATTTTTATAGACTTAGCGCGAGATTCAGGCGGAAGTCACTCTATTTTACAAATGGCTGCTGTTTATATAGCAAATCTTGCTTGCAGACACTGCTGTTTAAAGTTAATTTCTGGCCTATATTGATATATTTAGCCATTGATTTAGGTTTATTATTCATTTATCTATAATATTTGACACAAACATATCACAATATAGTTCTATTACAGCCTTGATAATGAGGTAACGTTTTCGTACATTAATAGCCGCGGGCGATTTTACGTACCCAAAACGATAGATTACCCATTTATGAAGCCATTATCCTAGTAAATACTTTAATTTTAATACTATAGTAATCTACTCGGTCTAAATTAGATCTATATTCTAGTAGAACTAGATATTAGATATCTAGATCTACTCATTTTAAACTAATTTAATTTACTGCTTAGAATATCATTTTAATTATACATTTAATTGTTAACTAATACTATTAGATAATTAGTATTAAAATATTAGATTAACCAATCAATAAGTTACTCCCCTAGCATTTGACTACTATAATATAAATATAATAATTTTATAATAACTATGAATTCAGCTATTAAAAAATTATATTCCATCAGTGATCACCAAACTAATTGATCATTAGATTTAATTAATTTATTTTATTTTTATTTGAGCCTTTAAAGTTTTTAGCATTGTAGTAGTTTCACATACATTTTCAAGATACTGTTTTTTTTTTATGGCAATAAGAATATTGTTGATAATTTAATATCATTTTACTATTGCTGTCAGTAATAGTCTAATTTTAATTATGTTGATTGTATCAACAGGATGTGAAAACACAGACAGCGGTGTTGGTGTCTATGCCTCTGACCCTGATGCCTACACTACCTTTGCTCCACTCTTGGACGAAGTCATCAAAGACTACCACAAGGTGTCTGAACTCAAACACCCCAACCCAGACTTTGGTGATGTTGACAAGCTTGACTTTGGTGACCTTGACCCATCCGGCAACTTGATCGTGTCCACTCGTGTCCGTGTTGGCCGCAGCCATGACAGTTATGGATTCCCCCCAGTACTCAAGCTCGAGGTATTTCTTATTTTACTCCCAAATACATTTTTGTTCTTAAGTCACTAAGAATTACTGATCCTGATGTTCACCCAATATCACATCCCCAATGCAAAGATCACAAATCCATCAACAAACTCAAAACTCATAGCACAGTTACACTGCATAGACTCTAACATAAATACCTATACATTCCAAACTGGAATAAAAAATGTAATGCAACATTAAATATCGAAATCTAATTGACCAACCAATCGTAGCAAGATAATCATGATTTTCACTAGATAAGTAATTTCACTATTAACACAACTTTTAGGAGCTTCAGGTCAGTGCATTTTTCTAAAATAATTTTCTCAATGTTTGACAATATTCAATATTGTTTATCATAGGATCGTGTTGAGATGGAAAAGAAAACCTGTGAAGCTTTCAACAAACTTGACGGTGAGCTCAAGGGCACATACTACCCTCTGACTGGCATGACCAAGGAAACCCAGAAACAGTTGACTGAAGATCATTTCCTCTTCAACGACAGCGACAGGTCAGACTAATTTTATTATTCTTTGTTTAATTAATAAGTTACCCCACAAAATTCAACACATGGAAAAAACTTTGAGAGAACAGAAAAATATTTTTAAAAATTATATTTATTATTATAGAGAAAATGTTTTGAGAATTTTTAAAAGTAGACTTTACAAGTTTGTGGAGAAAAATCATCATGCCTCTGACTTTAAAAATGCAATTTGAATGTTCAGATTTTTGAGATCAGCTGGTGGTTACAACGACTGGCCCACTGGCCGTGGTATCTTCTTCAACGACAACAAGACTTTCTTGGTCTGGGTCAATGAGGAGGATCACCTCAGGTTCATCTCCATGCAGAAGGGAGGTAACCTGCAGGAAGTCTACGTTAGATTAGTCAAGGTATGGTTATCGGACTTGGATGATTGTTAAAATATGTACTTATTTATTTAAGTGTGACATGGAAAGTATACATAGCTATACTACTTTTATTTTGCGTTATGTTAATTTAAGCAAGTTTATTTGAAACGGTAAAATGCTGGTTAAATTAGAAAATATATTGATGTGTGAATACCCATATTTTCTCTCTTACAGGCCATCAAAGCCCTAGAGAGCAGTGGTCTCTCATTTGCTAAACGTGAAGGTCTTGGCTATTTGACTTTCTGCCCATCAAACTTAGGAACAACTCTCCGTGCTTCAGTGCATATTAAGATTCCACACTTGGCAGCTTCACCTGACTTTAAGGCTTTCTGTGACAAATTAAACATCCAAGCTAGAGGTTAGAAACATGTTCTTTTAAAAAACATAGGTAGAACAACACTGTATCATAGTGAGCTTATCTTGGTAATTTGTTGATGTTTTTATAAGAACCAAAATCTTCATATAACTAAACTATTGTCTTTTTGTTTAGTTAGAAAAGTATTGTTTGGATTCAAAGTCTTTATAATTTATTGTAGGTTAAGAGTGCAAGTAAAATATTTTGTATAAAATTATCTTCATCAATTTAGGTATCCATGGTGAGCACACAGAATCTGTTGGTGGAGTCTATGATATTTCCAACAAGAGGAGATTAGGTTTGACAGAGATTGATGCCATCCAAGAAATGCGCAGAGGTGTTGAAGCCGTCATTGCAGAGGAGAAGAAACTGTCTGGCGTTTGATCAGTTGATCTTTTTAAATAAATAAAAATATTTTTAAGAAAACCACAACTGTCAAACCATTCAATCCCATTTCTTGTTTTACCTTGATTAGAATTTTAATTAATCAGCTGCCAGTCCCCAAAATGTTTACTTGGATTTCAAGTGCATCCAATTCATATCTGATTAACATGGATGTTAGATTATTTACAAAGTATTTAGATTGTTTGTGAAGTATGTGTATGATAATCAAGAAAACATTTGGAGCCAATGTGTTTTATATACATTGTTGATCTTCAAGTAACTTCTTATTTGTTTGAAAGAAAAGAGGCATAACTGTGATCGCGCAATATTCTACCTAACGAGCGCACACTGTTTACATATTTTATTTTGTACATCCTAGTGAAATTGTGATATTTAAATTTTTTTAAAGTTACCTCTGTAACAATGATGTGGTGAATATTTTATCTTATCATCAAATAAATCAGCCAAATATTAATTCATTTTTCTGTTTTCCTTAAGTTTTTAAAATATGCACTTTAGTTAAATTTTGATAACAAACTCAGAAAAGTATGTGAGTGTGGGTACTAAATTTGTTTAACCCTACATGAAATCTGAATAACATTTATAGGTCCAAATCCAAGCTAAAAACAATCTGTTTTAATTTAATTCTTACATAGGAAGCTGTTGATTCTTTTTTACCCTCTTATAGTGTGACTGGCAAATTTAGTTATTGTAAGATAACACTGGTCTAGCTTATAAGATGTGTATTAGTTAGTGACAAGGGCAGCTTTAGCAGTTTACTGTCTTTGTTAAACCAGTTGCTTCTGTGATAAAAGAAAAGGTAAACTTGCCTAAATGCAATGTGTCCCTTTTTTCTGTATGTCCAAATTAATAAATTATTTGAATAAAACTCTAATCCACCTTACAGTGGCATTTGTTTGTGTTCTCTTGTGCTGAATCATATACATTTTATTAGCAATTATATAATTTTAATTATCTGTTTGCATGGTGCTACTTAACAAAAAAAAATACTGGGAGATTTTGCAAAATTAAAAGTAAATATCGACAAATAACATTTGTCCTATACAAATGGTTAGCAGGGCAACAACAGAAAAATAGTAATTTCTTCAAGTAGTTAGCCAAAAAGATGTATCCCCACTTGGCAGTTTTGACTAGAAGGACAACCTTTAATTAAGGTGATTCAAGAAAGCAACACCTTTGTATGTATTTTTAATTAATTCATTTTGCATTGATGGACATTTTTAAGGACTATAAACTTACTTTGAGGCTTGGTACTAATATAATTAAAGATGCGAATAATAAAGCTTCTTTGTACACTACTAATTATTGCATAGGTTGGTTTACATTGATAAGACCAAACTGAAAAGAATTAATTTTTTAAATGTGAAAGTAGAGAATAAAGGGTGAAAACTCTGACCAAGATTGATACTGTGAATAATTACATTGTTACTTCCCTTAGGCCACAGAGCATGCAGTTTATCGCAGGTTCAGCAATCACTCAAACCAAAAATTATTACATTGTTACTTCCCTTAGACCGCAGATTATTCACAAAATAATAGGTCTACATATTTATTTCCTCAGGCTGGACAACATTAACAATATTCTGCTCAATTAGCTACGGGTAACGATTCATTTTGTTTTAGCAACGTATGCCTTTTGCAACCCGAATGAATGTTTTTTTTTAAATTTATAAATACTCACTCCAAACATAATACTATCCAGTTGTTATAAGCCGAATAGTTGACTTACTGCTCTCTTTAGTTTTGTTTTACTCCCAGTAACTTTGCAAAATACTAAGCATGACTGTCTCATAGATTTTAGTATTCTCCCAGTTTTCTATTTTTAAAATCTCCGCGAAGTAAAAATATTTCAATGAATTTTAAAAGATATTTTAATCTAAATACCGAAAAAGATGTGATGATATCTGCTGACAGTCTTCGTTAATTAGTTTTCATTTTTATACTTGTAAGATCTCAGCAATTAAAAAAATACTGATGCTTTTAACAATTGTATACGTTTTTTACTTACCTAATGTTTTATGAAGCAGGGCAATATTTTTCTCAGCCAGATCAGCGCCTATAGATGCGCCAGTCAAACTGTATCATGTCGCTCCACTTAAAACTTTTTTTAATGTTTCCATTTTGATTGCTTGTCTTCATTGCTTGGTATAGACCAGCAACTATTTCCACAGTCTTGGGCTATTCTCTCCAGCTGATGACGACTGACTGGAGTGTCGGCCTTAGGTTTCATTGCAAAATTTTTAATGGGTAAGAAATGTTCAACGATCCTCAGTTTTAGGTTCAATCTAGTCTAGTGACGTAACTTAACCGCTGGGGTTGTGTCCCAAATAGTAAACCTTTGTTGCTCATGTCCTTTCTCACAGGAACCTGACAGCGGACAAACTGAAATAGAACATCTTTTTAAGGCTAGAAGTTTAGTTTTTGTTATATTCTTCCATGCCTTTGCTCCATACAGTAAAACATGTCTAGTCCCGTTCAGCTGTATGAAGCGCAGATGGTTTTTGATGCGGTTTTCGATGGGCAGAGCCTGAACTTGTCACCAGCGCCTCTCACCAACAAGGTCGACGACTCCGGTTAATTAAGTATTGGTCTAGCCTTACTGTTGTGGACACTGAACCTATCTGCTGCTGGCTGCGTGATAGAGGTTTAGGGTCATCACTACTCTTTACTGAACGCAAGTCATTAGGTCAAGCTAGTCTTGCAAAGTTCATCGATGATATCCACTTCCGTTTCGTACAAAGTCCGGTGGCGAAAAAGATCAAGAAGAACAGCATTATTTAAATAATTTGTTTCGCATTCAAACGATTTTTTAAGAATTGGGTTTCATTTTTAAAATGCCAGTGTGCTCTAGCAGCTTTCAACGAATGCTGTATTTTAGTTTTCAATTATTTTTTACACTCTGCTTAGTTATGAAAGCGAGGTAATGGTAAAGTCATGTAGAGATGCATAAATAAACTACAGGCCGGGTGTGTTTGTTTTAATTTAATGAAACTAGTGGATTAATGAAAAGTTCTATTACAAATGCACATTAAACTGCCTTCTGATCGTTAATTAATATAATAGAGTATATATTTTGTCTATCAACGTGTGTACAAGCTAGCGACGCCACCGATGATAGATACATTGACTGTAAAATACATTAATTAAATGGGGGGGGGGGCTTGTTCATAAACAACTGTATTCTTCTATAGGGATAAGTGGTCGGAATTTTGTGGTTATGTATGACGAGGGGTAGGTAGGGGGTTCATAAATTCCGAAGAGTAAATGATTTTTAACACGTGTTTTGCATTTTAAAAGCCTGTTTTTTTATGTAATAGAAATTGATAAATATACTATGGGTGGGGGGGGGGGGGCGTGGTCGGGTCGGTAAAGCTTATGGTTGCTAAACCGAGTTCGAATCCCCGGACAGACGACGCTCGATATGTGGAGACAGCAACCCATCTAGGATAGATAATTCCAAAATCAAACGGTTGCAGTTTGCCCTGGGATGGCTGTGGAAGCAAGTCCGCTTGAGTAGATGAGGTTAAATCATCAAAAAAAATCATTGACAACGTTTACGAATGACCCTTTAGTCCAGATGCCATACTACATCGTAAGATGCAAATAGTTAACTACATGACTAAAACAAAGTCTAGAAAGAAGCCGAGAATGTAGAAAAAGGACATGTTAGCTTAGTTTCAAGCAAAGACTAGTTAGAAATAGTAATAAAACTTCGTTAGATAAAAAATTAGGCTGCAAAGATATGCAGATAGTACATAGTCTATTTTAAAATGTCATTGGCTATGACCTCAAGTTTAACGGTATTTTACACGTTGACCTCCAGCAGTAACCAACACGGCCACAACAGCCAACACTAATCCACGACATTTATGCACACTGATATCACCATCGAACGGGCAAAGTCTTCTGTGCGCTGTTATCAAAAGCTCAGACGTTGGCGATAAAACAAGAATGATCTAATATCTTAAGGTGTTTTTTTTTCTTCGACTGGTTTAAAAAAAAATCCCGCTTTATTAACTAGCTACCGACACAGTGACACAAACCCGGGCCTAGTTTGATCAAATCAGCCATGTTTCTATCAGTGTGTTAGACCCTTATCTTGACTGACTCAACGACGTTAACCCTGGATCTAAATGCTGGTTAAAATGGCTTGTAATTAGCAACTTGTATTAGTCCATTTGTATTGTATTATTCCACTACAACACACAAAAAAAAACATGCACAACACACCATAACAACGAGATAACTTTTCTGGTTTCGTCTGGGCTACTTGGTAAAATAAAAAGATGAATACGAAGACCTATTCGACAAAAATTAAAATGTGTTTTTTTAATTAATGTCTGAAAAACCTTGCAGTGTCATTTATTTCCTTGAACTAATTATTATAGATCGTTATACTAGTTTATTTAACGTAGATTACGAGTATTTTTTTTTAAAGATAAGTCTTGTAGATCTATATTCGGGATTTTAAAAAATAGTACTTTCAGTAATCTAAAAAAAAATGAAAGAAACCAACTGTTGTTTATTCCATTGCATATTAGTATGCATATCGGTTTGGTAAGTCAGCTCCCTAAAACAATGTCAGTCTGCATATAACCTACATATACAATTACATCTGTCCCGATCAAGCCATTTCTGAATGGCTTCGCATTTTCTATACTAGATCTATATATGACAAACATATACCTAAAATATCTAAAATGGTTTAGACTACAAACAAACCTTCTTGGTTTAACAACAATATCGAATCTGCAATTAATAAAAGAGACTGGCTTAGACAAAATGGAACTACTGAAGACTTTTGTACGCAAATAAATTATGTCAAACTGCTCATGCGTAGGTCGAAGAAGGAGTATTTAAATAAGTTGCTGTCAGGCAAACCGAATTCCAAATCTATCTGGACTGCCATAAATTAAATAATTAGAAGAAAAAAACCGCACATGCCATACAGCAAGACATAGCCAGATATATGCTGATGACTTCAACAATAGTTGTATATCATCTGTAGCGCTTAACACAGATGCTGATTACACAATCAGTGAGGAGCTTAAAAATGTTTGTAATTCTGCTCACCGTGGTAGGACAAAGCTGCTAATTCCGAAGTTTATGTTAGCCTTAGATCTCTTAAACCGTCTACAACAATTTCGTTTGATGGCATCTCTAATAAAGTATGAAAGATTTCAGCTCCAATAATCTCTGATGTTTAAATCTATATCTACAAGCTCTGTCTTACCAAGAAATATTACCCGAAACATTTTATGCATGCTAAGGTTATACCACTACACCAAAAAAGGTAACATCCAAGATGCAAATAACTACAGGCCAAAGTCTATACTTTCTTCCCTCTTCAAACCATTAGAAATGCATATAAACAAATGCATGTCAAACTACCTAGAAAAGCATAAGCTTTTCCATAGTAATCAGTCTGGGTTTAGAAAGCTTTATTCTTGGCACACAGCTTTTATTAAAATGAATGAAAACTGGCTCAAAAATATTAACAAAAACCTGTTTTGTGGGACGCTGTTCGTCGATTTTAGAAAAGCTTTTGATTCTATTGATCACACCATACTTCTTAAAGAACTAATTACTTACAAATTCTACGAATTTACAGCTAGGTTACTTCACTCCTTTTTATCTAACATATCTCAACGCGTGTTTCACCTTAATATCATTTCTTCACATACAGGGGTTCCGCAGGGCTAAATCTTAGGTCCTTTACTTTTTTCTTTATGCATTAATGATCTTGCATTGCACATCGACGCAGGTCAGTGCGAGATTTGCGCTGATGATACTTCGTTACACATCTTTGCAGACAGCGGTGACTCACTTCCATTCACCTCATTACGCATAGACAATACAACCATTGAACAGGTTAACAAATGCCTAGGATTTCTTTATTACAACTAATATACTTTCATTAAATAAAAAGATATATATTATTATTAATTCATGTTTTAGTATAAAATATTCCACAAAACAGCCCCCTCTTACTTTGGGGTCGTCCATAAATGACGTCACACTCCTAGGGGAGAGGGGAGGTCGGTCATTTCATGACGATGTGTGATGAGGGCGAGAGGGGGGGGGGGGGTCAGATGGTGCGACGTCACACTTTTGCATTATAAAAAAAGAAATGTTAGAAAACGAATTTTAGACGTTATGTCGCGTTTTAGAAAACTGTTTTAATAAATTGTAATAGGAATTGATTAAAACACTCTATTTTGACAGATTTCAGAAAAGATTTTGGAAAAATATCGATGTTTAAAAAACATTCAACTGCAATTTTGAGGGGGGGGGGGGGGTTGTAGGCTGAGGTGTGACGTCATTTTAGGGGGGGGGTCTGGCTTTTTGTGACGATGTGTGACGGAGGGGAGTGGGGGGGGGGAGGTAAAAATCGTCAAAATAAGCGTGACGTCATTTATGGATGACCCCTTATCAGACCTATTTTCTTTTAACACAAAACTAAATCGTCGTCTTAGTTTACCGATCCCATATACAACTTTTTTCCAAAAACATAGCTTCGCATACTCTGGTTTTAATTTGTGGAACAATCTTCACAATAAAACAAAACTATCTAGATCTGAAAATATATTCAAAGCTAAACTAAAACAACAATTATTTAATGACCTCCCTAACTGACTCATTGCAACATTTCTCATTTATCTATGATATTATACTCTTATTCTATCTTATTTTGTATTATAGCTATATAATATTATTTCTTTATTCCAATTTTTTTGAGTGCAGTGTCTCTACTGCTGAATTGCTTTTTAAAATGTTGTTATTCAGTTGTTTTGTTTTTTGTTTGTTTTTAAACGACCAATGTGAAAAAAGGTCTCCGTGCCTACTGTTGTATTGTTACCGTTATTGATTTGAATAAATTTTAATACATTTGCTCTAAATGTAAATAAATGTTTGGCATGCAAATGCAAAAAAAAAAATGATAAAATTTTAATTTTATTTTTAAAATTCACAAAATAAAAGCACGAATTTGCACAGCTGCTGAATCATGCAGTGGCGCTTCTTCAATTTCTATCATTTTTCACTAATTTATAGAACTAAAATCCTGTTTGAAAACAAGGCTTTGGTTCGGCGAATAACTCAAGATAACTTTCAAGTTGGTTGCAATTTTTTTTCTTAAGATACAAGTTTCATAAGCCTTAAGGTGCGCAAGCGGGTTTATCTTTTTGAGCCTAGTGTGTTGTATCGAGAAATGTGATTGGTTCAAGAAACTGCGTCATACGCCCTTGAACACGTGACGTAGATTATGCTGATGAACTAAATAGTTCTTTTTTGTCTTTATTCTAGGTGACAAAGCAAGAAAGCAAAAATAAAGTTTAATAAAAAGAAAAACTAATATTAGAACTTAAATTAGAAAATGGCAGATAATATATGTGCTGAGAGCGAAATTTTGTATAGGAGACTGCTGAATGCAACCGACTGCAAGTCACTGCTTAAACAAAATTTGACGAATAATATTTTCACCAAATTAAAATGTGTAAAAACTAAATTCGGTGGAACTCTCGCTGACTGCATAAGATCAGGTAAGGCAATCTAACTTGTAGTGGAAGAAATCCATCTTTTAGTTAAGCTTCGAAACGCGATAATTTTTCATTTTTAAATATAGATCTAGATCTAGATTTAGATCTATTTAAAATATAGATTCTAGAATCTGGATCAAGAATCTAGATCTAGATCTAGATCTATAGACTCGTATAGAGTATAGAGTATTCTTGAGTCCTAGACTTACAGAACTAGTCTAGATATCTAAATCTGTAGATCTTGACATTCCGAATGGTGCCGATCTGTGTTTTAATAAGCTATTAACTGGAATAAAAGCAGACTTTCTTAATAAAATAAACTGATTTTGTTTTTCCGTTTTGGTTTCAACCCCTTGAATAACGTCACCCGATGTGGTCCGCACTTTCTCCCCCGCCTTGTGACATTCGTGCGTACGCATTCTAGATCTAGAATCTAGATCTAGAATCTAGATCTAGATCTAGATGGAAACAATTATTGTATTTATTAAAACGCTGGCTTAGTACCTAGATCTAGTGATACATCTGTCTAGAAAAAATGTTTCGTTGCTGAACATTGTCTTAAATCAAGATCTAGATTATTACATTATACATATCTAGATCCAGATATTAATATCGTTGCACAGACACCTGATTTTAAATGAAAAGACGTAAATTAATGAGACGGCGTGGCCTTGCAATGGAGCGCTAGACTCCTAACCAGAAAGTCTGGAGTTCGAATCCGGGTTCAAGTCAAGAGATTGACCCTGTCCACCTTGCTCTGATGGGTACCTAACTCACGTTCGGGAAAGTAAAGGCGGCTGGGCATAGTGTTGACCATATATCCCTTCATATGCCGAGGTCATAGAAACAGATAAACTCTACTCCACTTGCCCCATGGGCCGTCAGATTGAACTTAAGCATTGAAGTGCCGTTGTAATGTTTGTTTTATCCTGTCATTCTTTCATCAAACACAAACTAGGCCAAACAGTTGTTTGTAATGAAGATGTAAAGTGTTTCTCTAGTTCTACACATGATTTAAGACGTTGCTGAAGTGCCAAATTGTGGGGTGGGGGAGAGGCCAAATTTTAAAAATAATTAGACCGTTGGCGCTCTAAAGAAATGGTTAGATCTAAATATAGTTTATGCATTTGGTCTTTTTTTTAATCTTCTTCTCGTTAATGCATTTGTAACATACTTCAAAACTTCAGTCCACTTCCTGTTGGAATAGTCGCGCGCACCTCTAGATCTACTTGCCTGAACGCCTCAGTTCGGTTCGTGAACCAAATCCCTGTGTTAACCAATCATAGCTGGGCATACCATGCCTTGATTCGTGGAAAGTGTACACGACTTGGCACGATGCTAGCCATAAAATAATAAATCCTTCAACTGGTCAACAAAAAAAAGCTGGTGAAATGAGTTATGAACGGATTCTTTTATTGCATCACATTATCTTTCCGTGGGTTGTGTAGTTTGCAGTCCAATATTTTAACACTGCTTCGACAAATTTATAGATCTAATTTCCTTAAGTTTAATGCTAATGACCTAGAGAAAATAGCTGATGTTAAATTTATATATATAAAGCAATGTATGTCTATGTGTGCGTGTGTGTGTGTGTCTTTTATGCATTACTACACCTCTCATCGCATCGCCGTGAAACTTTGGGAAGTTGAGAATATTCCTGGTGAGGTTTCTGCGGAAACATTTTTTTTTCAAATTCGCTGGGGTGGCGCCCCGGTAGGTCGCGATTTTTTTTCTCTATATACTGTATATAAAATTAAAAGTCGATTGCGCTTTGACACCGTTCATACGATCGCCATCAAAGTCTGGGGAGTTGATTAAAACACTCCAGGTGAGGTTTCTGTAAAAAAAATCTTTTTTAATTTCGCAAAAGTCGATTGCGGTTCGACGCCGTCTATCCGAAACCATAAAACTTTAGGGAGTTGATGAATACTCCGATAAGGTTTCTGGGGGGGGGGGGGGGGATAATTTTGCATGGGCGGCCCCCGGCAGGATGCGATTCGACGCCTTGGTCTTTCCCGTGAGCGCTATGGCGACTACGCTCGGCCTAAACAGTGTGATAGACAATGGATAAGATGGGGCGTTACAGTCGCTCACTATATTGAATCAGGCGTGTCCGCTGGCGCCCTGGTAGGGTGCGATTTGGCTGCGAACAAAAATTTCAGTTTCGGCCCCCAAAGGCTCACATGCGCCGCTGAGGGCCATGTAATACGTTTTATTTTAATATTCAGAAACATTAACCAAAGTTAGATTATTAACTGGGATGTTTCTCTTTGTTCGTAAAAAAAATTCAAACAGTTTTGTCATTTTACGAATGATGAAATTAGCATCAATTGTTTAGAGGATCCAATCAGAAATTGATATTGAGCATCTAATAATAAACCATTAGTAACGCTAACATATTGCATCAGTCACACTGATGTTTAAAACACCTCAAATGTTTATTTTACGTGTTAAAGAAATTCTAAAGGATTCTATTTGGCACTCTGGGTTTCCTATTAGCACAATGGCGCCTATGTTAGTTTTAAGTAGCCAGGGGCCGTACGCGGCACCTCTGCGGTAGTTTAACTGGGGCTCCCGAGAGCGCCCCTCTACGTCCTTGACACATGGGTGGTCACCGAAGTGTTTATTCTTCATTATTTCGCTGAGTGATTAACGTATATTTAAGGTTTTCACGCGGTAGTGTAGGTAAACCCGTGACCCGACAATTATGATCCAAGCTCAGGCAGAGGCGTAGCGACCCTTCCCGGCGCCCGGGGACAAACTTTTCGATTTGCACCCCCCCCCCCCCTCAAGATTTCGATTTGCACCCCCCCTCAAACTTTCGATTTGCACCCCCCCCCTCAAGATTTCGATTTGCACCCCCCCCCCCTCAAACTTTCGATTTGCACCCCCCCCCCCCTCAAGATTTGGATTTGCACCCCCCCTCAAACTTTCGATTTGCACCCCCCCCCCTCAAACTTTCAATTTGGACCCCCCTCAACCTTTCAATTTATTTTTCCAACACATTTTGGCACCCGGGGACATATGTCCCCCCCCCCCCCCCCCCCCCCCCCCCCCGCTACGCTACTGAGCTCAGGCAATGTTTACATTTAGATAACTCAGTTTTAGAAAACAAGGTCACGCGTCTAAGACCATAGGACTGGTAACGCATTGATGAAACCCGTCTTATATATTACTTACTTCTATCCCCGCGGCAACGCGCGGGGACGGGCACGCTAGTCTTATATAAATAATGAAAATTATTTCTACTAATTATTCAACAGCTGAAGGGGAGATAAGTAATAACTCTATCGGGTGGACTGGTGTTCCCCAATGGTGTTTAGAAACCCTGGAGCCGAATGAATACATCACAAGCTATTGATAAGGTTCTAAACGTGGCCATAATAATTTGTCGCAACTGTCTATTTTAAATTAGGATGTAACACGATTTTCTCTAATTTAATATTATTCCCTTTCGTCATTTTCTGCCACATGTATGACAACTACTAACTTATTTCGCGGGCCACAGACTTACGACCCTTGTCAATGTCAGCAATATTTTTCAACAGTTCTCTTTATTTTAGCCTATAGTTAGGAACACAGTTTCATCATTCTCTTATGTTCTTCTAAGCTCGATGTTGAGCAAGCACAATTTCTCCTCATTTCTCATATCCACCGTCTTTGTTCGCATATAAGCAACTGACATGGAAGTTTAGTACGCAATTGCTACATATGTCCTTGGGGGGGGGGGGGGGGGGGCGCTGTGGCACTGCTTTCCATACAGCACAGCACTGTACATGGCATCGTTACTAGGACCGTATCCACCCTTGTATTTTATGCAAGCTATAAATTCTGTCCGTCTTGTCTGGTTAAATCATTGAAATACAACGGTGTGATAGGATACATTTTCTGTAGGGAATAAATTGATGCTACACCTTACAGGTTTCCCTGTTCAGCCCTTTACAATGTGTTGAATGTAATACGCTTCATTTGATTAGCTGACGACACACGTTCATACAGTATAGAGAAAGATTGGCCCATGTGTCCTGGGCACTGAAGGGAAATGATGATAATGTTATAGAAAACTTAGATAGCACTTTGCTGGTTGTAGATACGTGCATTGTGTATAAAACTCAACTAGTCAGTTGAGCTTATCACCGTCGTATGAAGTGTGTATCACCATCGTATGTGTGTGTATCACCGTCGTATGTTTGTGTATCGCCGTCGTATGTTTGTGTATCACCGTCGTATGTTTGTGTATCACCGTCGTATGTTTGTGTATCGCCGTCGTATGTTTGTGTATCACCGTCGTATGTTTGTGTATCGCCGTCGTATGTGTGTGTGTATCACCGTTGTATGTGTGTGTATCACCCTTGCATGTGTGTGTATCACCGTTGTATGTTTGTGTATCACCGTCGTATGTTTGTGTATCACCGTCGTATGTTTGTGTATCGCCGTCGTATGTTTGTGTATCACCGTTGTGTGTGTATCACCGTTTTATGTGTGTGTATCACCGTTCCTTCCTGGCTGATGTGTGTTGGCTGTTGCAGTTTTAAGTGTCACCAACTCTTCTGTTTGCATGTTATTGGAACGTTTGAATGTGTACACTGAAACAAATAAACCTAGGCCTACCCGACTAAAATGTAGTGACTTTAAAAAAAAAAATTAAAAAAAAACTTTACCAATGTAGTTCTATTGAGTGCACTGAAATTTAATAATAAATCAGTGCTGTACTTTTAAAAAGCACGTTTTTAGTGCACTTTCAAGATTATTATTATAAGGATTTTAAGGGGTCGGCGTGGTCGAGTCGGTATTGCTAAACCGAAAAGTCTCGAGTTCGAACCCTCGGGCAGATGAGGCTCATTAGCTGGGGACAGCCACTCTTCTAGGAGAGACAACTCCAAAATCAAACATCAGCCGCCATGTAGTTTGTTCTTGGTTGGACAAAGGCTATGGAAGCAAATCCAAAAAGAAAAGCAGGCTGAAATCGGAGTCAATGGCCTCAATGGCTTATAACCAGTTGACACGTATCCTTAATTGTGATGGAGGCGTGTTCGAGTCGGCAAAAAGCTCATGGTTGATAAATTCGAAAAAAATCTCGATTTCAAACCATCTGGCAGATAAGGCTCGATCCCTTCCAACACTAAAAATTAACAACGAAGAAGAAGAAGAAGAAGAAGGATTTTATATTTGGTTTATTTTCTACTTTTTATTAATTATAACTATTAAAATTCGATAGTTATAAAAAAAAAACAATTAGAACATATTAAGTAGATTTTTATCTCATTCTTGACAACAGCATATGAAAGGATGGTGTAGTCAAGCACTATGCCCAGCCGCTTTTACTTTCCCAAACTTGAATCGGGTACCCATCAGTGCTGGACGGACTCAGGGAAGTCCGAGATCCGAACTGGTGACAGTCGTGTTACCGATCTACCACTCGACCACCCCGTCCATTTAAAAAAAACATTGGTACTTCACACTTTTCGTATTCCCAGCATACTTGAAAATGTCGACGCCACATTATGGTCTACTACTAAAAATATTAGCTTTAACCCCCGATCAGTAGTTCCCGCTGAGATCTCTAACGTGCGTGTGGCTCTCGCGAGAGTTCAGCGGATAGATGGACAATCTTTGTTTCCTGTATCAACAGGATGTGAGAACCTAGACAGCGGTGTTGGTGTCTACGCCTCTGACCCCGACGCCTACACGACATTTGCTCCACTTCTGAACGGCGTCATCAAGGACTACCACAAGGTGTCTGAACTCAAACACCCCAAGCCAGACTTTGGTGATGTTGACAAGCTTGACTTCGGTGACCTTGACCCATCCGGCAACTTGATCGTGTCCACTCGTGTCCGTGTTGGCCGCAGCCATGACAGTTTTGGATTCCCCCCAGTACTCAAGCTCGAGGTAAACATTCGTTAGTCGCCAGACAGCATACTAAACCCTATTGCCCTAATTGTCTCATAGCCCCAAACTTCACACTAAACTCTATTGCCCCCATCGTCTCAACACCCCAGACATCATACATTGCCCCCATTGCCACAAAACTTAATTACTGTTAGAACGGCCACAAAAACGATACCTTCACACCTTTCCTAAAGGACCGTTTAGAGATGGAGAAGAGGTCAGTTGAAGCCCTTAACAAACTGGACGGTGAGCTCAAGGGCACATACTACCCTCTGACTGGCATGACCAAGGAAACCCAGAAAAAATTGACTGACGATCATTTCCTCTTCAACGACAGTGACAGGTCAGATAAGTTTAATTATGAAAAAGTTTTCTTGAAAATATACAACACGTAAATTTAACATCTATGTTTGTGTATTTACGAGCCTTAAAAAACATCATTTCATTGCCTTTAAGAATACTTTTTGAATGTTCAGATTTTTGAGATCAGCTGGTGGTTACAACGACTGGCCCGCTGGCCGTGGTATCTTCTTCAACGACAACAAGACTTTCTTGGTCTGGGTCAATGAGGAGGATCACCTCAGGTTCATCTCCATGCAGAAGGGAGGTAACCTGCGGGAAGTCTACGTTAGATTAGTTAAGGTATGGTTATCGGACTTGGTTTATTATAGCAGATACATTTATATATGTCATTCCCCTTGTGTAAATATATTTACTACAGTTTTTAAAGAATCTATAATTATATTTGTTCTTTTTATTTTATATAAATTTAAAAAAAAAAAACTTACTTAAAACACAAAAATAATAATTAACTCAGAAAATAATATGTGGAAACATTCCTCCATTTCAGGCTGTCAAAGCCCTAGAGAGCAGTGGTCTCTCATTTGCTAAACGTGAAGGTCTTGGCTATTTGACTTTCTGCCCATCAAACTTAGGAACAACTCTCCGCGCTTCAGTGCACATCAAGATCCCAAAGCTGTCAGCCACACCTGACTTTAAGGCTTTCTGTGACAAATACAACATTCAGGCCAGAGGTCAGCAAGTATTCTTGTTACTCTATAATCAGAGTTCCAATGCAAATGAAGAATTTACTATTAATAATGTATTTTTTTTCATGTTTTTGTTTTAATTTAAAGACACTATAACTATAAAGAATTAACCATTGAATATAGAAAAGTATTTTAAACTATTTAAAAGATGGATTGGTTTTCTCTTTTCTTTGCAGGTATCCATGGTGAGCACACAGAATCTGTTGGTGGAGTCTATGATATTTCCAACAAGAGGAGATTAGGTTTGACAGAAATCCAGGCTATTCAAGAAATGCGCAGAGGTGTTGAAGCCGTCATTGCAGAGGAGAAGAAATTGTCTGGCGTTTGATCAGTTGATCTTTTTAAATAAATAAAAATATTTTTAAGGAAACCACAACTGTCAAACCATTCAATCCCATTTCTTGTTTGACCTTGATTAGAATTTTAATTAATTGGCTACCAGTCCCCAAATTTAGGTAAGTGCATCCAATTTGTATTGGATTTGTGGATGTTAGATCACTCCCACAGTCCTTAGAATATTTGTCATTGTAAAGTATTAATAAAATCATGGATCCGGTTCATTTGGATTCCCTTTGTTAAAGCCCTTAGCGGTAGAACTGGTATATTAAAAAACAGCTTATAAAATGGCTGTTATTATCCAAGACAGCTTTTGTAATTTTTGCTAAACCACTTGATTCTGTGATACAACAAAAAAAAGTAAAAACAAATTATTATGACTATTCTTTTATTTCTGTACTCCAAAGTAATAAAATATTTGAATAATCAACATAAAATTTACATTTGTTATTCAATTTTTTAAAAATCTTTGTACATGATTTTTACCAGTTTTAGTTTGTTCGTTAAAAGTTTAAGTCAGTGTTGGTCAGTTTTCATCAAAAGTCAAGTCACACTCTTCATATAGTAGACCAATCTCCAGCACTGTACTTTGACATCTAGAAAACTAGTTTGCATTCAATATCCCAAGCACTTTTAACATTTTACATCACTAGCATTTGAATCTATAACATTTATTTCTAAATTTCATCTTTTAAACCACAATGTTCTGCTATTGTATTTGAAGTTAGTTTCACAAAATGCTTTGTGGAGGATTTTGTTCCCCCCATTTACTTTGATGTTTACAGCTAAAGTGATCTAAACTTAAAAATTGTTAACATTCAATTACATTTCTAAAAATTAATGACTTGAATATTTATACAATTATGGTTGTGGCTGTCTGTAAAAAGCAACAGACAATTTAAAAATAAATATTTTTATTTCATTATTTCCACTAGCAAACAGTCTTTTAATGGAATGATTCATCACAGTAAATATATGTAACAAAAAATTTAAAATGCACCAAAAATTAATTTTAGAGCATATTAGTATGAGTTATTTACAATCATTTAAATTCATACTTAAATTTACATAACAAAACAGTAGTATACAGCCTATAATATTTGTTTGAAATCATAGCTTAAAAACTCAATTCTTTACTTGATAATTTCAAGTAAATAAGTTTAAAAAACAAAACTTAATTAAGTGACTTGAAAATTAAAATAATTTAACATTTAAAAAATATCTGGCAACTGCAGTACTCGCTATTTAAAACATCTAAATTTTAAAACATCTTGACCAAAACTTTTAACAATATTTTCAGAATGAAATTTCTAAATTGAAATACTTGATAGCACTGTGTTTCAAGTAAGGTTTAGAAAGTTGCTGGACTGTTGTGAAAATAATTCAAGCTCAATTCACACTTGAGCGGTATCTAAAGATATTAAACATCACATTTGCTCATCAAAGAGCCAATACCACTGAGTTTGACTCTTGGACAGGTACAATTTATCACAGTAGTGCAGGAAATATTAGAATTGTAAAATATATTGTATATAGTAAAATAATGTATGTTCACAAATACTGCAGATGAGTAATGGAAAATTCAGTAAAACAAACTGTATACATGTTTTTAAAATACAACACATAAATAATTGTTATAATGTATGATTTCTATAAAATAGATATAATGCTTTTTTATTAGAAACTACCAATACTGGTTGTATAAAAGTCAATATAAATCAGCAGTCTTAATGTAAAATGTTTTAAAAATAGTCGTTACACAACTGTAAGTCCACATGATTTATGAACTATTGGTATTATTCATGAATGAAATCTCATGGCTAACAAAAATGTTAAAAAGATGAAAGGGTTATCAATAGTTTTAGTAAATGAAAATATTTTAGGCTTACTAATTTTAAAAAAAAAGAGACTTCTGTGCCATATTAAATGATAAAATAAATATTTAACACACATTTGTAAAAAAAAGAAGGTATTTATGTATCCACTTCCATTGATTTATGTTGTGCCATATGTGCATAGTCAGCCTTTATTAAAGATGCACCTTTAATGGGTGAGGACACGGCTGTTGCGATAAGTTTCAAATTTTCTCGAATGTAGTTTTTCTTGGCTCGTTGCTTCTTAATGACAGCATGAGGTCCAGCTATGGGTGGGGCAGAGATCCCCCGAGGGGGGTGGTACTCTGGCAAGTCTCCTTTGATGTTATAGCTCCACTGCATGTCCTCAGTCTGCTCAAATCAATTTTTTTTAATTAATGGTCATTGACAGTCCAGGTTAAAATTAATCATTTTAATAAAGTTGTGTTTTCCTATTTCTATCATCGCATTATGGAAGAGATTGTGTGGTCAGTACTATTGTTTAAAGTTAATTATTTTAATTTTGATGAAGTAGCGTTTACCTATGTCCATCACCTCATAATGAAGAGATTATGTGGTCAGTACTATCATTTAAAGTTAATTATTTTAATTTTGATGAAGTAGCGTTTACCTATGTCCATCACCTCATAATGAAGAGATTGTGTGGTCAGTACTATACCCAGCTGCCTTTAGATTGTCTAACCCATGTCTGTGATGGGTGGGACAGGGATACCATAAAGACTTGAGCCCATAACCAAACTTAAGTCTGTGAGGTTAGCAGTTATGTACACAACTGCTCAACCCTTAGCTATTTATTTTTGTGTTTAAATAAAAAAAATGTATCACTTGTTTCTTGTCCAGCTAAAACCTGATCCTTTTAACAAAAATCTCAACTTCAACTGTAAGCTTACATAATCATTACTAAATCCTTACAACCTGCATTCATAAACAGTTGATTCAAACTGTGATAAGTGTTTTAACTGTTACCTGGACAATCAGTTTGGCATGATAAAGTTTGCCATAAAGCTGAGGCAGGAAGTCAATCACCAAAAGCGTTCCTCCAGTGTTAACTGGCATTAACTCCCCTGATTCTGGATGTACAGTAAACTCTGGGTCACTTCCATTCTCAAAATATGCTCTAAATGGAGCAGGGTTTCTGAAATACAAATAAATAGATTTAAATGGAGCAGGGTTTCTGAAATACAAATAGATTTAAATGGAGCAGGGTTTCTAGAATTATAAATATATTTAAATAAAGCTGGGTTTTTAGAAATACAAATAAACAGAATTAAATAAAGTTGGTTTTCTGGAAACTCATATCAATTGTTTGATAATTATAAAATGGCTAACATCTTTAGGATGCCATTTTGTGGTAAAATTCAATTCCAGTGAAAAATGTGATTACTGTTGGATTAGATAACTAATGATATTGTAGCATATGATATTCTTGCACTAAAAGAAAAGTACTATATTTAATTTTGATATTTAAATGCTAAAATTAATTAAGAAAACAGATTAACATTTTTTCTTGTGCTGTAAAAATGTGAACGTACTTTTGTTGTGATGTCAGTCTGAAGCCAACACTGGAGAGTTTGCTCAGTCCTGTAGCTTTGATTAAAATGTTGTCATCAACAGGTGGATCAGTGGCTGTAAACCTGAGTGGGAACCTCCACAAACCTCCTGTTGCTGCCTTGATGTGAAGCTCCACTTGGTAACTTAAAAACACAAATTTAACTTCTGGCATTTGTTTTTAAGCAGAAGTTCAACCAAATAATTGTATCAACTTAAAATAGTCCAGAACTTGTAAAAATTATCTAATATAAAATTATACATTTAAAAAAAAAATTGATTAATATTTTGTATATTTTTTAACAGACATACATTTTAAAAATATTAAAATTGGAATTTTAAAAAAATCTATGCAAAGAAATTTCCTAGCCATATAGATTTCTCTATATTAGATTAATAAAAAAGCTTGATTGAAGGATTATTAAAATTGTACCTTTTAAATTGATAAAAACTAATAATAAGTTCAAAAAAAATGTATCAACTTACTCCATTATCCTGGTGGGGAGGAACCTCATGTTAAAAATAAGAACAACAAGCCCAGTGCTTGGATCTCTGTAATGCCTGGTAAATTCCAGTTTGACAGCCCCTGTCAAGGCATCTCTTGCTTCTTTGTTAGGATATATAAGCTCATAACTGAACTCTTCGGCTGTGGCCATGGCTAGAAAATTTTAAATGTTCGTTAAAGAAACAACGTAGCCTATTTTTTTTTTTCAATTATTTTTTAAATTGGTTTTACAAATTGACCTTTATTCATTCAGTAAAATAATACTTGAAAATAAATTTAACAAGAAAAGTTACTTAAAATATTGAACAAATAGAACAAAATAAACAGAAAGATAAAACCACATTTTTGTTAAAAAACTTTTTTCAGTTAAATGATCAAATTCCTTTTTCAAGTGAAAAAATATATTATTTAAAAATTAAAAATTGTAAATTAAGAATGTTAATAAAACTGAGTCAATAATGTTATTAAATTCATTTATTAATAACTAGTATTGTGAATAAAGATAAATGATAAAAAATATGACATCTCTTTTACATGTTATATAAATTTTAAATCATTTAGTTATATAAAGTGTTTGTAAAACCCTGGAATAAAAGTACCGGTGAGTGCTTTTCTTATAAAAGAACTATTTATAATACTATGTTTATTGCGTTCATACATTTTATACATAAGAACATTTAAATTTCCTTCGCAAGAGAACTACCCAAACAAAAGTTTATAACCATGCTATAAATAGATGAAGTTGCTCACCAAATGATGTCAATATACAATGAATTTGTGAAATATTAAGAGCCAACTACATTTTACTAGACACTAATTGGGAAGTTCTAAAATGCTTCAGAGTCATGGACCAATATAGAAAATAATTTACTTAACAGAAAATAAATAATATGTAATGATTTAGCATTTTTACTACAATTTGCATTTTAAAAAATTGATTTAAATTTCTGAAATAACTTAATTTGACACAGTACTTGGTCAACTTTAAACATGACACACATTTTGGACAACATGACATACGACATACTATTTGGGCAACATGACATATGACATACTATTTGGGCAACATGACATACTATTTGGGCAATATGACATACTATTTGGGCAACATGACATACTATTTGGGCAACATGACATATGACATACTATTTGGGCAACATGACATACTATTTGGGCAATATGACATACTATTTGGGCAACATGACATACTATTTGGGCAACTTACTATTGCCTACTACCACACCAGATGGGATCTGAGGTTTTTTGTCCTTGGGTGTCTTGGCTCTCAGGGTCAGTACGGGGCCAGACGTGCTACCAGGCGACACCCCTGACAGTGTCACTTCCAGCCTCTGTTCAACCTGGTCCCTGGCCTGGCTCATTATCTGAGCTGAATGGCTGTCTTTGTTTTGTGAACTTTCGGCAATACCAACAATTGGGTACAGCCATCGAATTTTATTGAGCCCTGTGCTTTCTGTGGACAGCTTATGCCTGCAAGAAAGAAAAATATTATTTTATTTATCTAAAAAAATCAGTAAATATCTAAAAAAAAAAAAAGTCAGTTAATATCTAAAACAAAAATTAGTAAATATCTAAAAAAAAAAACAAAAAAAAAATAAGAACACATTTATGTTGAAAGTTAACAAATCAAACAAAAATTTTAATTCTGTCAAAAATATCTTACAAGAAACGTACCCATAAGAATCTTGCGGTACGTATGGCCACTGTTGACCGTCTTCCCTGCGCACCACTACAGTACAGAAACCTTTATAGTTAACTAGTTCAGTTGGAGCAAAGTATACAGGAATCTCTAGGGTTGACTTGGCCCCAACATGGATGTTGGAGGTGTGTTTCAATAAAAGTTTAAACGCTGAGCTTGGCTTTTGTATTCTCTCTAATGTCTTCTCTGTGCTCACGTCAGAATCTGTACAGTGATGTCATTATTAATTTTTAAAGTTGTGATGGAAATTTGTGAACAAAAAAATTCTTTTCCAAACAACTTATCAAAGCATTTTCAATGTTATCATACAGGCTTAAGACACAAGCAACCTACAACATTTTTTAATTGATGAAAAAACATATTTAGTAAGAGACATCTATAAAACATCACATTGTTTATTCTACATAGGTGTTTAGCCATCAGCATTAAGTTCATTAAACTATTTTTAACAATCTGTAAAGTAAAAACAATAATAACATATTTGTCAGTCCATCTGTGTTGTCAAACATACCTGTGAACAGAATATCTGCCAAAATAGGAACGTCTGTTGGGTTCCTAAATGGAATGATGATTGTTGTGTTTGAGAATACAGCGCTAATGGCATTGATAGGTGGGTGTGGTCTAGGCAACAGACCAGTTCCAGAGGCAATAAACACCCAATCTCCATACTGCAATGTCAGGTCACAAATTTAAAAGGCAATGATGAGAACAGAATACTCAAAAAACTTCAGAATGCACATGGAAAAAGAAATAAAGTTCTTAAAACTGGATTAATAATAAATGAGATCGATTATTAATTTGAAAAAAAAAACTACTTGTATTATTTTTTTAAACTTTCTTTAAATCCTTTTTTTTTCTTTCAAAAAAATGATGTAAACAAGTTTGCTACTGCTACTGACCCTGTCACTTCTGAATATGATCTTCCCAAGATGTTCTGTGTCCCCTAGAGATGTGGGCATGAAGCGGAGAGTGACTTCAGTTTTTCCTTTACCTTTAATGATGATGGCTTTATCTACCTCCCTCTCCAGAGTATAGTTGTTTGTATTTGTGATAACTGGTGTTAGCTCTAAAACCTCATTGGTTGGATTCTTTAAAGTTATTGTCTGATAGGTCCATCTGTACAAAAGCAGTAAAACCATTACATTAATTAAAGATGAAAACCTAATGTAATTAATAAATTTCTAAGGGCACAAGCATTTTTTAGGAGCTGATATAAGGTTAGCTACATATATATATATATATATATATATATATATATATATATATATATATATATATATATATATATATATATGCATTAAAAGAATTGTATTTAAATTAAATTTCTATCCCCCCCTTATATACACATGCTAAACTAAATCATATGATGCATTATTATTATATCACTTATTGAGGTAAATTGAATTGTTTCTACAAAATATTTAAGAAGAAATTGAAAAGAATTAGGGACTTACTTTCCAAGTTCACATTCCATGTGTGGGAGTGTTGTAGGTACTGGTGGCTCAGCTTTAAGAATCAGATCATACCAGAACTCTCCAACAGATTTGTTGAAAAATATTAGGCTGCCATAATGGGACATGGTCAAATTAAGTCTTTAAAAATAATACAAACTATTTGACAAACACATAAGGTATGTACTTACAAGGGATATTAGATTTTGCTAATTTAATATATTTTGTCTAAATTACCATCAGAAGTAAAGTTTGTAGGTAATCTTTTGTAAAGAGATTTAAAAGACTGATTTACACCAGATTAAGTCCCCTACCTTCCTCGAGTCTCCCCTACAGCGGATGGAGAGTATGTTAGTGTGTAAACATCCTTTTCACCAGGTGGCAGTGTGATGGACAAGGGTCCACTCAAATCACTTCCCTTGATGGTCACGCCAAAACTCAGTTCTTTTGGTGTTGGATTACGGACAATAACTTCCACAGCAAACTTTTTCTGATTATTTGAAATTTTACAAAATTATCTATTGTATTTATTTTTTTTTCATAAAAATATTTGTGTAAATCATTGTTATTACTCTTTTCTACTCCCATTAAAATAAATCAAATTTTAATGAAGTAATCATTATAGGCCCTAATAAAATACCATTTCTAATTTGCTTATTCAAACATTTATATAAGAGAAGAAAGTAAAAGAAAAAAGTGATTTTAGCAAGTCATCAAGTCATCAAGTGTAATCCTACCTGGCAAGGGCAAACAACTGTCATAACTTTTTCAGGCAGTGCAGGCTTGATGTCTATTTCAAGTGCATACCACATTCTATAGCCAACATAGTCTGTGGCATCTTCATCCTTTTGGTATTCCTCACCATCACTGTCAATCTCTCTGTTGGAGTCAAATGTCATTTGTATTGATGTCATAATGTATGGTTTAATCTAATCAAATGTCATTTGTATTGATGTCATAATGTATGGTTTAATCTAATCAAATGTCATTTGTATTGATGTCATAATGTAGTGTTTAATCTAATCAAATGTCATTTGTATTGATGCCATAATGTAGTGTTTAATCTAATCAAATGTCATTTGTATTGATGCCATAATGTATTGTTTAATCTTATCAAATGACATTAGTATTAATGCCATAATATATTGTTAAATCTAATCAAATACCATAAGGAATGATGCTATAATGTTTATTTCTAATCATAATGCTTTGAGCATTTTAAATTAACAGCTTGCCTGCTGATATAAGGCTAGAAACTGACTTTATAAAACAGGTCAGATTTCAGATTCGTTATACAAACTTTAAAGCTGTTTTCCTATTGTTAATATGATAAAATCACAATAAAATAACTTACGTAGAACTAGAATCTTTGGCAATAAAGGCAAGCACTCCCTTGACACTGCCCCGTTTGGTGGGCGTGACAGTAAATCTGTACAGACCGGTCTGGTTGGGTAACACAGTGATTGTTGGGTCACCAGAGATAAAAGATAGATCAGACTCCACCTGTAGGAGGTCAAATGGAACTTAATACATTGGTCTGTTTCATATTGCACCTCTCATCATTACAAAACCCAACCCTACCTCTCATCACTACAAAACAAAGCAAAAAATTTGGTCATTGCATGTTGGAAACCAATTTTTTGAGTTATTATAAATAAGATTTGTTTAATTTTTTTTTTAAAAAGCATACATCTTAATTAATTTAAAAATTTTTAACATAACACTCTTAAATTTTTAATAAGATGATTTAATAAAACGTGTGATCTTTGTCAGAATAAAATATTGAAACAGCCCATTATTTGGACCATCATTGCTCAGAGAATTTTTTCTAACAGTTTTCTCTATTGAATTATACATAAATTTTGAGACTAACTCAATTAACTCTAAAATGAATTGGTGGAAAGTCTCAAATATCTAATTCAAAATAATATCATCACAAGTTTCTAGAGGTCATTGGCAGAACATAGGACAAAAAGTTCTACAGAACATGGAACAAATGTTACAGTACTAGGAAGAAATGTTCTACAGTACTAGGAAGAAATGTTCTACAGGACATAAGATATCACAGTTGACTTACCCTATAAACAAGTTTCTTTTTGGTCACATTGGGCACAGTGACAGAGTGTGTGATACTGGAACAAGACAAATGTTTTTAAATGTTAAGAAATGTATCATACTCCAAGGTTTTTAATAACAACAATATTCAGCAATGAAATCTGAAGTAAAATCTGAATGCTAATTAAGGGAGTTTCCAACCAAACATTGCCTTTTAAATGAATCCACACAAATTCCTCATTATGAGAGTGTTATTCATGTGATTAAACTTAAAAAAAAGGAACTTTACCTAGCCTTGGCTCCACAGATGAGTTTGATGTTGTCTAAAGCTAATGGCCTTAGACCAATGCCAATTAAAGTATAGGCCTGTTCTGTGTTATTTTCTTGATTCTTTAAGAGTAGTTTCCCCTAGAGATCACAAGAAAGTCAATAAATAAAATGTTTTAATTTCCTAATTCAGTGTGGTTTTGACAGTGCGAATGACTGCTAGCCCCAAAGCCTAGAGCTTTGATGCCTAATCAAAGACAGACATACCCTTAGTAAGCTGTCAGCCCACATAATGAGACAGGTATTCACTTGGAATAAACATGGAAAAAGAGGGGGGACTGTTGGAGAAGCTAGCACAAGAAAGATGGGTTACCACTGGAACAGTTTGAGAAATTAGGACAAGAAAGATGGGTTACCACTGGGGACTGTTGGAGAAACTAGCACAAGAAAGATGGGTTACCACTGGGGACAGTTGGAGAAACTAGTACAAGAAAGATGGGTTACCACTGGGGACAGTTGGAGAAACTAGCACAAGAAATATGGGTTACCACTGCGGACAGTTGGAGAAACTAGTACAAGAAAGATGGGTTACCACTGGGGACAGTTGGAGAAACTAGCACAAGAAAGATGGGTCACCACTGGGGACAGTTGGAGAAACTAGTACAAGAAAGATGGGTTACCACTGGGGACAGTTGGAGAAACTAGCACAAGAAAGATGGGTCACCACTGGGGACAGTTGACTGGATGACTTAGTCCCATAGGAATAACCTTTTGACTAATAAGATCAAAGGTCCGAGTGGAATGACCTTCTGACTAATTAGGTCTAAGGTCCCACAGGATGACCTGCCGACGAATCAGGTCAAAGAAAATTAAGGCTGTTGGTCAGTGTTGATGACACAAAAACTTGATATGTAAAAAACCAAAAAATGAAAGAAAAAAACAGATGAGATCTACTTTATCTGCTCTCTGGACCATTGGGTCTGTTGGTTACTTTATTTATTTTGATTTAGATTTAAATAAGTATGTGTTGATTGTTATTAATATTAGAAGAAGTTAAGTACTTACAATAATCTCTTCCTCTTTCATAGGTTTAAAGGTCAAGGGGTAATCAGTGATTTCAAAAGCTTTGGCCTTTAATATTGGGGGACCACTGAAACAATCTCCAAAAATTTCTGCGTTTAGTTCCCAATCGTCACTTGTCTGGTTCACCTGTGCAAAAGAAATAACACAATTTTTTTCATATTGCTTCTTTGCAGGCCTCTTTAGATTCTATTACACCAATAGTCTTTCTAAGTCCTAAATTTTAGGCTAGTCTGCAAGAGGTACAACTTAAGCTTCAGCTATAGATTTATCTGTAAGTCATAGCTTTAAGTTGTATTATCTAGCTACAGATTTAACTGTAAGTCATAGCTTATAGTTGTATTTAGTTAATAACTGGATCTGTGAACTTTATAAAAAATTATCTTGGTACATTTGAATTATATATTTCTTCATTATAGCCTGGTCATTTAAGAATCTTTTTAATTGATTATTTAATTAATATTAATTGATATTAACTAGTATTTTAATACAATCAGGAAAAATGTAAATAACTTACAACTGGAATATTCTGGGTCACAGTCTGATGTAGTGGGGCATTGAATTCCAGTTCTGCTGTGCTGCCCTCTTGGTTAACAATACATTCAATCTTGTACACTCGTATGTCATCAATGGCTCTTAAAGTGATGGTAGCTGGGTAGTGGCCAGGTTCTTTGGCTTTAAACTCCACAGTTAGGCCAGCAAAATCTTCATTGCCATCACCACCTGCAACATAAAAACATGGATTTCAGAGAGGCCAGCAAAATCTTCATTGCCATCACCACCTGCAACATAAAAACATGGATTTCAGAGAGGCCAGCAAAATCTTCATTGCCATCACCACCTGCAACATAAAAACATGGATTTCAGAGAGGCCAGCAAAATCTTCATTGCCATCACCACCTGCAACATAAAAACATGGATTTCAGAGAGGCCAGCAAAATCTTCATTGCCTTCACCACCTGCAACATAAAAACATGGATTTCAGAGAGGCCAGCAAAATCTTCATTGCCTTCACCACCTGCAACATAAAAACATGGATTTCAGAGAGGCCAGCAAAATCTTCATTGCCATCACCACCTGCAACATAAAAACATGGATTTCAGAGAGGCCAGCAAAATCTTCATTGCCATCACCACCTGCAACATAAAAACATGGATTTCAGAGAGGCCAGCAAAATCTTCATTGCCATCACCACCTGCAACATAAAAACATGGATTTCAGAGAGGCCAGCAAAATCTTCATTGCCTTCACCACCTGCAACATAAAAACATGGATTTCAGAGAGGCCAGCAAAATCTTCATTGCCTTCACCACCTGCAACATAAAAACATGGATTTCAGAGAGGCCAGCAAAATCTTCATTGCCATCACCACCTGCAACATAAAAACATGGATTTCAGAGAGGCCAGCAAAATCTTCATTGCCATCACCACCTGCAACATAAAAACATGGATTTCAGAGAGGCCAGCAAAATCTTCATTGCCATCACCACCTGCAACATAAAAACATGGATTTCAGAGAGGCCAGCAAAATCTTCATTGCCATCACCACCTGCAACATAAAAACATGGATTTCAGAGAGGCCAGCAAAATCTTCATTGCCATCACCACCTGCAACATAAAAACATGGATTTCAGAGAGGCCAGCAAAATCTTCATTGCCATCACCACCTGCAACATAAAAACATGGATTTCAGAGAGGCCAGCAAAATCTTCATTGCCTTCACCACCTGCAACATAAAAACATGGATTTCAGAGAGGCCAGCAAAATCTTCATTGCCTTCACCACCTGCAACATAAAAACATGGATTTCAGAGAGGCCAGCAAAATCTTCATTGCCTTCACCACCTGCAACATAAAAACATGGATTTCAGAGAGGCCAGCAAAATCTTCATTGCCTTCACCACCTGCAACATAAAACTCCAAAATCAAACAACTGCTGCCTTGCAGTTTATTCTTGGTTGGAAAAAGGCTATAGAATGTCAATTTAAAATCATGGGTTTTGTGGCCAGGGGGTTCAATAATGTCAATTTAAAATCATGGGTTTTGTGGCCTGGAGTTCTATCATGTCAATTTAAAAAAATAAACTGAGTTGAAACTTCAAAAATAAGACAAAAAAATGTGTACACACAAAAATAACATTGCAGTTGATGAAAATAAACATGTGTCTACACAATTTTCTAATGATTGATACTCTATGAAGACACAAAATGGCAGTCACCAGAAACAGCAGAATCTTTAGTTTAAAACCATAATAAAAGCAGACACCAATATCTACACAGACTTACCGCTTTCTTTGGGCAGACATTTTGACCTGCTACTCTGTGAGCTAGGCATGACCAGCAAGTCTGGCACCTTGAAATACTCGGAATCAATCTCCACTCTGTAGACGTCTGCTACAGGACCAATGGCCTGATCAGATGGTGAACAAAGAAAATCATTTCATCAAATGTCTTGCAAAGCAATGCAGCTTTTAAACAAATTAACACATACAACTTTTTAAAAAATATTTCAACCTTTTCTTAAATTAATGACTCAGTTGAAGTTTAAAATAAAGTTTTCATTTTAAACACATATAACATTTTTAAAATACCTTAGCAATAGAGATGGCAGCCACTGGGTTGTTCGACAAGTTTTTGATAGTTTTAGATGTCATACTGCAGCTCATCAAAGTTCCTGCCACTTGACGCCGCTGCATCTCTAGGTCGCTCATGGACTTGATCAAAATCAGAGGTTAAATTTTTAGTATATGATGGTAGTAACAATAGTAAAGGGTAATATCATTGGGACACTAAGCACCTATTTTTATAAAGTATTTTTAAAAGTTGTTTAATAAAGACTAGAATTCTTAAGATTAAATACAATTATTATTTCAACCAGATTTTATAATGGCAGTATTTAGCATCTTTAATATAATGTTTTGAAAAACCTGTTCAACAAGCGTGAAAAATTAAAAACTTGAACAAAGTGCACCAATATCTGCTGCAACAGTGCTAGAATAATTCAACAAAGTACACCCATACCTGCTGCATCTGTGCTAGAATAATTCAACAAAGTGCACCAATACCTGCTGCATCTGTGCTAGAATAATTCAACATAGTGCACCAATATCTGCTGCAACAGTGCTAGAATAATTCAACAAAGTGCACCAATATCTGCTGCAGCTGTACTAGAATAATTCAACATAGTGCACCAATATCTGCTGCAACAGTGCTAGAATAATTCAACAAAGTGCACCAATATCTGCTGCAAATGTGCTAGAATAATTCAACAAACTTAACCAATATCTGCTGCAACTGTGCTAGAATAATTCAACAAAGTGCACCAAGATCTGCTGCATCTGTGCTAGAATAATTCAACAAAGTGCACCAATATCTGCTGCAACAGTGCTAGAATAATTCAACAAAGTGCACCAAGATCTGCTGCATCTGTGCTAGAATAATTCAACAAAGTGCACCAATATCTGCTGCAACAGTGCTAGAATAATTCAACAAAGTGCACCAAGATCTGCTGCATCTGTGCTAGAATAATTCAACAAAGTGCACCAATACCTGCTGGGAGGCTAGAATAATTCAACATAGTGCACCAATATCTGCTGCAACAGTGCTAGAATAATTCAACAAAGTGCACCAATATCTGCTGCAACAGTGCTAGAATAATTCAACATACCTGCTGGGAGGCTTGAATGAGTGCTCTCTCCTTAGAGATGTTGCTGACTGGGATGTGAAGGGTTTCCTTAAGGGTGACACCAGCATCACACTTCCAGTAAATGATGCTGTCATCTCCTCCAAACATGCCACGCCCATTTCCTATGATTGCATCAAAATTTTAATTCAACAAAACGGGTTAACCAAAGCAGCTCAAAATTTTCATGTATTTAAAAATGGAAATATTTTATTAAACTTGTATAGTTAATAAATAATTTCTAACTCATTCAAAAACAATTTTTTCCCAAACTGATAGTTATTATCTTATTTTATTAAAGTTGTATAATAAATAATTTCTTACATACTAATAAACAATTTTTTTTGTAATTTAAAAGAAAATGTCAACAAATAAATCTAATGCTTTAAATATTATTTAAAAACCTTGGATTAAAATTTTAAAAAGTTTTTGTCTAATGCAATTACCTGCAGCAGCTGCACTGCTAATGCGAGCACTTTCTTTACTTGGTACATAAGGCAGGTAGGAAGGCAACGGTTGCAGGGCTGTGGCCTCTATGGAGTAGACAAACTCACCAATAGACTCGTTCATAAAAATAATGGAGCACTGGTGCTCTTGCACACTGAAGGGGAGGTAATGGATCTCCACATCAGAAGATCCCAACGCCTCAAAGTGAACAGAAGCCATGGGTGTGTAAAATGCCTGGAGTTTTGGGATTTGAGCTGAAAAAAAATCATCATCCAGTTTCAACACACATTTGATACAAAGACTAAAGCTTTATGAATATTTAAAATGTATTAAATTGCAAATTAGTTTATGTTTTAGTTTTATCAAGCATTTATTTAGAAGGATAAGTTTTAAAGCAATAAACCTGCTTTAAAAAGTATTTTTTTCAAATAGTAAGGGAGAGCACTCTAGCATTCACTTTTTAAAATAATGACAACATTTTATTGCAGAAGTAGCGTTTAAGATATATTATTATGGTTAACCAGCAGTGTGGAACAAGAAACTTGAAAGGCCTAGACATTTAGCTTTAAAAGCATCAAACTTTGGTTGACTCACAGTTTTTCTGTCCCTTTGCTTCTTGGTGCTCTAATATCTTGTTCATTGGTATCAAGTCATTTACTGGCTCTGAAAATTTCTTAGTAGAAGCAGATTTGGACCCTGCTTTTAACTAAACAGAAAGAAATTACTACAGTATTTTATGTATTTCTCATGAAGAAGCTCTTGGGGAAGAATATCCTTTATTAGGAGTCTTACTTTTATCAAATGCTCAACATTTAAAATCCTTAACTAGTAATATTGCTTAGCTTAAGATGAGGACTAAACTTTGTCAAGGTATATAGGTATGAGATAGTGGTTGAGATATTTTTATGATTGACATCAACCCTTCATGGGTGGTTGCAGAAAATAAGAAGAAATATTTAATGATAACTATAAAAACAAAATGTTTCTTTCTTACCTTCTTTTCCTTGTATCTAGAGTTGATTTCTCGTAGGTCAGAAAGAATTGTATTGGATTCAATCAAAACTATCTTGAAATCTCCAGACTCTTGGAATGGGTTGACAACATCCATAAGTAATTTTTTTAGTTCGTAGCAGGGAGACTCTGTTTTTAAGCAGGACTGACAAAATAAAGTGTTTCAAGTTCATCCTTTATGTTTGTAATAAGTAAATAAATTGTGACAAATTATATTTTAATAACAAAATAATAACTTTTTAAAAAATCATAGATTTTGTTCTTACTGAGAAAAAATTGGTAGCAAAATATAGTCTAGTAGTATTGCAAAAAAAAATTTTTTTTACATTTGTTACTTGGTTAAGAGCCACAGTAAGGCTTTTTTTTAGAAACTGGCCTAGCCTTTGTAAAATATTAAGTATAGATCTAAAATAAAGAATTTATTTTGACAAATTAACATGAAAAAGTTCTAGCAGTATAAAATGTCACATAAAAGCTCTTACCTTGGGTTTGATGTAATCTATTTCTGTCACAAGTTTGAAACTCAGTGTGTTTCCTGTGGCTGTACCATGTCTTCTCCCAACCAAGAGCAGGTAAGCCTCAGCATGTCTCAAAAATCTACTTCTAAACTCCACATTGACACTCAGGGTTGATTTGGATGGTACAACAATTAAATTGCCTTTTTGGACTGAGAAGTCCTTAGCATCATTGCCGACAATTATAACGTTGTAAATCAGACTTTTGACACTTGTGTTTGTCACTTTTACCTAATGAAAAATTAAAAGCAAAATCATTTTACATTTTTTTGTTAAGAGTTCAATTAATTCTTATAACAAAGGTTAAGTTTATAATGATGCAGTTGTATTTATTTTATTATTTTAATTGCTTTAAAAAAAAATTGCTAAATTAAAACAAACAGAAATAGCCAAAAAATAATGAAAAATTGCCTAAAATAATGTGAAATAGCCAAAACAGTGTGAACAAGCCAAAAATAATGAGGCCGCCACATGAAATAGACAATGAGAGAGCTGTGTAAAGAGTGAGCAGCTGTACAGAGAGAGCCGTGTAAAGACTGAGCAGCTGTACATAGAGAGTCGTGTAAAGACTGAGCAGCTGTACATAGAGAGTCGTGTAAAGACTGAGCAGCTGTACATAGAGAGTCGTGTAAAGACTGAGCAGAGCCGTGTAAAGACTGAGCAGCTGTACAGAGAGAGCCGTGTAAAGAGTGAGCAGCTGTACATAGAGAGCCGTGTAAAGAGTGAGCAGCTGTACAGAGACAGCCGTGTAAAGAGTGAGCAGCTGTACAGAGAGAGCCGTGTAAAGAGTGAGCAGCTGTACATAGAGAGTCGTGCAAAGACTGAGCAGCTGTACATAGAGAGCCGTGTAAAGACTGAGCAGAGCCGTGTAAAGACTGAGCAGCTGTACAGAGAGAGCCGTGTAAAGAGTGAGCAGCTGTACCGAGAGAGCCGTGTAAAGAGTGAGCAGAGCTGTGTAAAGAGTGAGCAGCTGTACAGAGACAGCCGTGTAAAGAGTGAGCAGCTGTACCGAGAGAGCCGTGTAAAGAGTGAGCAGAGCTGTGTAAAGAGTGAGCAGCTGTACAGAGACAGCCGTGTAAAGAGTGAGCAGCTGTACAGAGAGAGCCGTGTAAAGAGTGAGCAGCTGTACCTGTCTTGTGACCACACTGTGGAGGCCACCAACAAACTCAATTGTTGTTTTAGGGCTGTACTGGGGCAGACGTTGATACAGGCTCACAACAAGCAGCAGCAGCGCTATTGGGTTTGGATCAGTGATGTCTATAGCCTGCAATAGTCAGATAAATTTACTCACATCTCACAGGTATGTTTATACAATTTACTGAAATCATGAAATGATTGTTACAAGAAAATTAGAATGCCACTATATAAACTAAGTAAAAAAATGGTGTGATAGTGAATAAGGCAGTGATGTATACACCTTAGAGTCAAGTGAAACAGCTAACCATCAAGTAAATCAAAAACTCACTTAGATTTCACTTAGCTGGAAGCCATTAAAAATACAATAAAAAATTTAAACTGTAATCAATTATTTCAGAAATAAATTGTTAGAAGAACAGTAAGTATAATAAGTTAGAGATCATTGTTACAACTTTAAAGAACAGTAAGTATAATAAGTTAGAGAACATTGTTACAACTTTAAAGAATAGTAAGTATAATAAGTTAGAGATCATTGTTACAACTTTAAAGCTGGCAATGTCAACCTTAGGATCAGACTATCTTCTGTAGAACTCAATTCTACATAAAAATGATCAATTAATTACAACAGCAAGAGAAATATATCAGTTTATATCCTCTTAGCTAGAGATCACACTCAGTTTATAACCTCTAAGCCAAAGTTCACAATCTCTAAGCAAGAAAAACAAGTTAATTAAAAAAGTCTAGTGACATTTGTGCGCAATTTCCTTATGTTATCTAAAAATAGCTCTGACGTATAATGTTGGGGTGCGTTCAAGCTAGAAGAACAATCGGTTTGTAGGTGTTTATGTAATTTTAAAATTTGTGACCGAACGAGAGAATATTTTTGAAAACTTTCTTCGGCAATATTGTTCTAAATTATGACAGGAATCGATTGGTACATGTTTCAAGTCGCTAAGTGGTCTGGTTGCCGAGATATGGGCCAAAAACTGCTTTTTTTCGAGATTTTTTGGCTTTTCTGGGAAATCCATGAAAGAAACCCGGAATTTTTATGGCCTATGTTCATCCTCGTAACTTGCTTAACATAATTGCTTTTGGAACTAGTCATCGATATTGCTTCGTTGAGGAGGAGATACGACTTAAAGCTGCGGACACACATTCATCCATCCATCCATCCATCCATCCAGAAATGACGGGTTAATAAACGCAATTCTCCAGAATGGAAATTGCGCTAAAAACTAGCAAGTGAGGGGAGAGGAGAATACTTTACATCTATGAGACACAAATCCTTTTGAACTTAATCCTACATAATAATTAGATTTTAGTATTAATTAGTGTGTAATCATCCATGCTCAACAGAGTGTGTAATTACCTGGACGTCAAAGTCAATGTAAGCAAACTTCATGGCATTGATGACTTTGAGAGCATTATGTAAGCATTGCTCAGCAGTTTCAGGGTGTGTGTACATTCCTTCCAGATGACTTTTGATCTGTCAACATTACATACATTGTCATGCTGTCTTTAAGATATGGTTTCAGTAACCCATTTAAAAAATGTGCCTGTTTATATTATAAACTTTCACCCAGATGTTTATTTTTAGAAACAAATTGTAAGACAATCAGTGACATTTTGACCTATTACTTTTTAATGTTGTTTTTTTATAGAATATTCAAGCCAAATACTAACTGTGGCATAATGGTACAAACAAAATGAACCCATGTAGAGACTATAAAAGCATAAATGTTAAATGTATATGAAAAGAATGATCTCTAGAATTAATTTGTATGAGAAGAAGTAACCTACAAAATGACTAAATGACAGACCATGAGAAGAAACAATGAATAAGAAATAATTTTTTTTTAAAATGACAGACCAAGAATGGCATGTGTGCACCAAGGAGAGCTCCAATGACAAGTCCATCCATGAGGTCATAGTCAAAGTTGACAATCCACCGAGATGGTGGAATTCCACCTGAGGTAAAAAAATAACGGAAAGTTAACAATCCAACAAGATGGTGTAACTTCAGTTTATTTCATGTTACATTTTCAACATAAGAAGTAAAATCCGCTTTTGTTTTTAGTGGATTTTTATCAATCCATAATAATGGATGATCTATAAATGATTCTAGCAATTTTTGGCTTATTTTCTACCTCCACAAAATCATCACAATAAACCAGACCCTGCCTAAATAAACCATACTAATTAAATTAGTTTGGTCATTATTTTTTTTTTATAAATACTAAATGAATACATTTCTGTAACCCCCCCCCCTCCTTTATCACTAGTCTGATCCACCCCCCACCCCCCACCCCACAGCACCCCACCCCGACTCTTAGTGGACATATATTAAGTTTACCTGAAATTTTTACTATTTCCATCAAATGCACAGCATTACTTAATTTTCTTTAAATTTCTTGGTTATCACTGTAAGCTCTATTGGTCTCATATCTAAGCCATCCCTACCTTTGGGACAGTTCTGCCAGATGTAAGCTCTATTGGTTTCATATCTAAACTATCCCTACCTTTGGGACAGTTCTGCCAGATGTAAGCTCTATTGGTCACATATCTAAACCATCCCTACCTTTGGGACAGTTCTGCCAGATGTAAGCTCTATTGGTCTCATATCTAAACCATCCCTACCTTTGGGACAGTTCTGCCAGATGTAAGCTCTATTGGTCTCAAATGTAAGCCATCCTTACCTTTGGGACAGTTCTGCCAGATGTAAGCTCTATTGGTCACATATCTAAACCATCCCTACCTTTGGGACAGTTCTGCCAGATATAAGCTCTATTGGTCACATATCTAAACCATCCCTACCTTTGGGACAGTTCTGCCAGATGTAAGCTCTATTGGTCACATATCTAAACCATCCCTACCTTTGGGACAGTTCTGCTAGATGTAAGCTCTATTGGTCTCATATCTAAACCATCCCTACCTTTGGGGCAGTTCTGCCAGATGTAAGCTCTATTGGTCACATATCTAAACCATCCTTACCTTTGGGGCAGTTCTGCCAGATGTAAGCTCTATTGGTCTCATATCTAAACCATCCCTACCTTTGAGACAGTTCTGCCAGATGTAAGCTCTATCTCATATCTAAACCATCCTTACCTTTGGGACAGTTCTGCCAGATGTAAGCTCTATTGGTCTCAAATGTAAGCCATCCTTACCTTTGGGACAGTTCTGCCAGATGTAAGCTCTATTGGTCTCAAATGTAAGCCATCCTTACCTTTGGGACAGTTCTGCCAGATGTAAGCTCTATTGGTCACATATCTAAACCATCCCTACCTTTGGGACAGTTCTGCCAGATGTAAGCTCTATTGGTCACATATCTAATACATCCTTACCTTTGGGACAGTTCTGCCAGATGTAAGCTCTATTGGTCACATATCTAATACATCCCTACCTTTGGGACAGCTCTGCCAGATGTAAGCTCTATTGGTCTCGTAGTAGTGGTTCATCCAGGCCAGCAGAATCCTCTCTGGGACGCTGTAAATGTTGCTGGCTAGTGGGTCAGGGTTGACCAGTGGGATGGACACCTCCTTATATGGTGTGGTCAACGCTTTCAAAGTTTTTTGAGTCACTTTGGACAGGACTAGGATCTAAAATGTATATTGTGCATTGTTAGTTGGTTTAGCATTCCTACAAAAACTATTGATGATGTAGAAATTAAGGATAACTTATTAAAATTTTGTCGATCATATAAATAACAAATAATTAAAATTTGTTTAAAAAAAAATATTATTTTTAAAATGTACAAAACAACAATTATATTATCAAAGAATTAACTTAAACTAATTAATGACAACAATTTGGCCTCACTTTGAGTATCTGCAAGAGCACGTCTGTCCAGGTTCTTTTAGAAATGGCCTCAAACATCTCCTCCTCTATGTCATCATCTGCTCGAATTTTGGCAGCATCTTTGGTGTTTCCCTGGCGCAAGAGTTCAAATTTGATGCTCTTCTGTAGCTGCCTCCAGAGCAGGAAGTCAGCAGGTGGCATCAAGTACTCAGGTTGTATGGCGGCTACACATGCTCCCTGGCACCTGACATATGAAAACATACTTAGGTGGGGCACTATCACACACTTAGGTGGGGCACTATCAGACACTTAGGTGGGACACTATCACACACTTGGGTGGGGCATTATCACACACTTAGGTGGGGCACTATCACACACTTGGGTGGGGCATTATCACACAGGTGGGGCACTATCACACACTTAGGTGGGGCACTATCACACACTTAGGTGGGGCACTATCACACACTTGGGTGGGGCACTATCACACACTTGGGTGGGGCACTATCACACACTTAGGTGGGGCACTATCACACACTTAGGTGGGGCACTATCACACACTTGGGTGGGGTACTATCACACACTTAGGTGGGGCAGTATCAAACACTTAGGTGGGGCACTATCACACACTTAGGTGGGGCACTATCACACACTTAGGTGGGGCACTATCACACACTTAGGTGGGGTACTATCACACACTTAGGTGGGGCACTATCAAACACTTAGGTGGGGCACTATCACACACTTAGGTGGGGCACTATCACACACTTAGGTGGGGCACTATCACACACTTAGGTGGGGCACTATCACACACTTAGGTGGGGCACTATCACACACTTAGGTGGGGTACTATCACACACTTAGGTGGGGCACTATCACACACTTAGGTGGGGCACTATCACACACTTAGGTGGGGCACTATCACACACTTAGGTGGGGCACTATCACACACTTAGGTGGGGCACTATCACACACTTGGGTGGGGCACTATCACACACTTAGGTGGGGCACTATCACACACTTAGGTGGGGCACTATCACACAGATGGGGCACTATCACACAGATGGGGCACTATCACACACTTGGGTGGGGCTTTAATGCCTTAAGCTTTTTGCAAAAAAAAAAGAAATCTTATAAATGAAAAAAAAAATATTTATCATTTTTTAAAAAAATGTATTGTAAATCATAATTTTCTTTCGAAAAGTATTTTATGTTATATATTCTACTATTAATATTGAATGTTTGTGTTAGATATTTCTTACCTTAAGAATGTCAACAAAGTGCAGTGTTGCCAGTAAATCTGTCGCACACGCTCCACTGGATCAGCAGGTAATGGTGAGTTGATGGGAATACCTGGCATAGGTCTGCCGCTCAAAAAGCCTATCATATCATAGATGGTCTTGGAGACTTTGTTGAATCCCGTCTTAGCTTTCTGCTTCTTATTTCCTTTGATGTTTGTTTTTGACTGCAAATCCTCTTTACTCTTTGAATTCTCTGCCGCTGTTTTTTTACTGATGGATCTAAAACAAAAGTACAACAGTTGCATGTCTGCTCTTATTGATTTGTTTTTTTACTCACCCCACATAACAAATCTTTAATTACCAGCTAATTCTAGCAAATAGCACTCTTTATTCAATAGCTAAGCTTTCCACCAAATACACTTGCATATACATGCTCAAGCACCTACATTCTCCACCTAGTAATTGCACTCTCAAGTTCTACCTACTATTTCCCTCTCCACCTAGCACTTATATTCTCCACCACCTAGCACTTACACCTCCATCTAGCATTAACACCTTCACCTCAACCTACACTTTCCACCTACCAGCACTTACTCTCTACCATCTAACACAGTGGTTCCCAACCTTTTTTGAGTGGCGACCCCCTTTTATAAAAAGTAAGTGACCCGCGACCCCCATAGAATTAAAAAGCCGAAATTAGTATGGAAATTAATAAGCACTAAATAAGATTTTCTAGTAGACTTTCAATATCAACTACTCTTGATAACTATTTTAATAGCATGAGTAAAATAGCATACTATTCACTAAACCTTCGAGGTTAAGTTTTTAATAAAAAAAATTTGTTAACGCCAACCTATGCCATTATAATTATCTTAATTTTGTTTTTAATCGAAGAGCGTAGTGTTGAAAATACATTCTCGAAAAGTCAATCAATTTTACATTTGGGTATGAATGGTGAATACTACACCAAAATTGTGTCTGCAGTTTTTCATCTTACTCGGAATCATTCTGCAAATCAAAGGATTTATCTTGTAATTCATCGGGAATGCTGGCAACATCAAGGGAAGAAGAGAATGGGTAATGCGTAAATGCAGATTCTTCTTTTTTCAGCTCAGAGAAATAGCGATGCAGTTCGTTTTCAAGAGATTCAAGATGCCCAGAAATCGCTTCTATCAAAATTTTAATTATCTCACAATCAGATTCATCTACCACAGAGTTTCTCAAATTTACAATATTTCCAAGATTTATTATCTTTACCGATTTTGAAGCTTTGATAAAAATGCCTCGAGATTATCATGGAAAGTTATAATATTCGTTCATTTTCCCTGAAGCTTCAGGTTAAGCTTATCTTGATGTTCGAACACATCTGCTAGGTATGATACTCTCTCCAACTACTCTATGTCGTTTTAAATATACCAAAAAGTCTTGTTTCCTTTGCACTTCCAAGAACAATTTGATTTCAGATTTCAATTCAAAAACACAATTTACAACATTTCGTTTGACAGCCAGCGTACTGTAGTGTAGAAGAGCAGAACCTCGTGATCTATATTAATGTTTCTGCTCAGTTCATAGAAGGCTCCAGATTTTATATAATTTACGACTTATACTAGCAATGGACTCTTGATGTTGATTGGTTAGGGCAGTGGTTAGGGAGCTAAATCTTTTCTGTTTTCTGAAAGCCCGATTTTGAGCTAAACATAGATGGCGCACCATCCGTATAAACCCCCACAGCAGTTTTAACACATTTTAATCATCCAGTTTCAAAAAACGTATTTATTTTCTACATGCTATCTTCACAAAAGAGCAACTCTTCTTTGCTATCATCCGCATGAATATAGACACAGACCATCAACTGCGAATACGAACTCATGTCTGTTGATTTATCAACTTGAAAAGCAAACAATGGTGAAAGCTTAATTTCGATAAAAATGTGTTATTTAACATTTACGTACATGCAGCGTTTGATGAGATTTTCTCCTATTGTTTTTTTTTTTTTTGCTTGGCATTTTCTATTGCGACTTCATTTGATGCTTGCACTAATGCTGGTGAAAACTTCCTATTCGATCAAGACTCTGGCGTTTGCAACTAGCGTCTTACCGACGAAGATTTCATAGATTCATGACTGAGAACAACTTTGTACAGTGCGCTTTGTTTCTTATCTATTACATTTCCAGTGATATTAATGAAGCCGAATTTTAAAAATTCTTCTAAATATGTATGTTTTGTTTCAAATTACTAAGGTTTAGTATACCAGTTGGCGACCCCCCCAGAAAGACCTTCGCGACCCCCAGGGGGGTCGCGACCCCCAGGTTGGGAACCCGTGATCTAACACTTACACTCTCTACCTAACACTTACACTCTCCACCATCTAGCACTTACACTCTCCACCCAGCATTTACACTCTCCACCATCTAACACTTACACTCTCCACCATCTAACACTTACACTCTCCACCATCTAGCACTTACACTCTCCACCATCTAACACTTACACTCTCCACCATCTAACACTTACACTCTCCACCCAGCATTTACACTCTCCACCATCTAACACTTACACTCTCTACCTAACACTTACACTCTCCACCATCTAGCACTTACACTCTCCACCATCTAACACTTACACTCTCCACCATCTAACACTTACACTCTCCACCATCTAACACTTACACTCTCCACAACCTAGCACTTACACTCTCCACCATCTAACACTTACACTCTCCACCTAGCACTTACACTCTCCACCACCTAGCACTTACACTCTCCCCCCAGCATTTACACTCTGCACCATCTAACACTTACACTCTCCACAACCTAGCACTTACACTCTCCACCATCTAACACTTACACTCTCCACCTAGCACTTACACTCTCCACAGCCTAGCACTTACACTCTCCACCATCTAACACTTACACTCTCCACCTAGCACTTACACTCTCCACCATCTAACACTTACACTCTCCACAACCTAGCACTTACACTCTCCACCATCTAACACTTACACTCTCCACCTAGCACTTACACTCTCCACCATCTAACACTTACACTCTCCACCCAGCATTTACACTCTCCACCATCTAACACTTACACTCTCCACCATCTAACACTTACACTCTCCACCATCTAACACTTACACTCTCCACCCAGCATTTACACTCTCCACCATCTAGCACTTACACTCTCCACCCAGCATTTACACTCTCCACCCAGCACTTACACTCCCACCACCCAGCACTTACACTCTCTACCTAGCACCTACATACTCCACCTAGCACTTACATTCTCAAGGTCTCTGGAATCAAGATGGGATACGGCCCACCAGGCCAGCCCTGAGATGCGAACCAGCGCTGGGCAGCCTGCAGGACCTCTGCATGGAACAGCCCCTCCTCTGTACTCTCATCTGGGCACATGGCGGACATTGCCCTGTCCAGGCTCATCTCCAGTCCCAACTCAGAGTTGAAGGTTATTTTGTTGAGAGCGCCCTCTCTGTGGGCTGGGGTTAAGGAACCTGATTGACAGCCAAAATAAAGGAGGAAAAAAGTAAAAAAGATATGTTGAAATCTGTAGAACAGAAGTCAATAAACAAAAAAAAATATTATTTTAAACATTGAAAGTAAGTAAATCTCTGCATTTTTTGATAACACAGTTTTATTTTATTGCATTTTTTATCATAAATTATTATGATTATAACAAGCCATTTAATGTGTGTATAGGCTGTACCTGACAAGCCCTTTAATGTGTGTATTAGCTGTACCTAACAAGCCATTTAATGTATGTATAGGCTGTACCTAACAAGCTATTTAATGTGTGTATAGGCTGTACCTAACAAGCCATTTAGTGTGTGTATAGACTGTAACTAACAAGCCATTTAATGTGTGTATAGGCTGCACCTAACAAGCTATTTAATGTGTGTATAGGCTGTACCTAACAAGCCATATAGTGTGTGTATAGGCTTAACCTAACAAGCCATTTAGTGTGTGTATAGGCTGTACCTGAAGCTGTAGACGAGGATTCGTAGCTGGATGTTGAAATCTGGAAGGTGGAGCTGGTGGCACTGGTGCTGGGGCGGCTGGAGTGAGTGGGGGACAAGCACGGCACAATGTGAGCCTCGCCTGAGCTGACCGAGGATGACAGCTCACTCTTCTTTTTGCCTAGCATCTTACGACCCTTGGGGTAGGTACCCTGGGAATGAAGATGGTGTCTTTCAAAAGTTTGTTTCAATTCAAAAGACAAATAATAATTGTGTTGACACGCTAGAGAGCACATTATGGCTAAGACACAAATCTCAACTTATGTTGGATGGCTTTGAGTCAACTCAGCTGAGGTGGATACCTGACCAGTCAGGGGGAGGACTGACTGGGATGGCTTTTTGCTGACTACACATTCTTATCACATGCCTGCATCACAGAAACTGGAATATTCAACTTAACCTGAATTCTGATGTTTAGGTCTGAAAGGGAACTTGACTGTCAAACACAAATCAAATGACAGTTGTTGATACCTGCGGTCTGAAATGGAACTCAACTTTCAACACAAATCAAATAAAATTGATACCTGTTCACAGACAATCTGGTGGTCGGAGCGATGTAGGGCAATGAATGGGTAGCAGGTGAGGAGGCAGTTGTCTGCTGTTGCTGTCACTTGGATTGTTTCCCTGTCAAATAGTTTTTGATTCAATTGAAATTTTTCACACAGATTTTTGTCTATCTTAAAGAAGGGTAGATAACCAATTATTTAGTGCACAGAACTCACATGACAAAGAAGAGTTATTTTTAAAATAATACTAACTTCCTTATAATAACATCTAATATTTAAACTCATTAGCAAAATACTAACTTAAATAGCTGTCAATTTTTTTTAAATTGCAGTTCCACACATATCTATTAGTGAATGTCTAAATTTCTCATTTTATTTTAAAACAGAGAACTTACAAATGAAATCATTTTTTTTTTAAATTTATGGAAATAGTAGAAAAAAAATGGTTGGCCTGTTAACTAATACAAAATTATAATTAAATTAAAATACAACTATCTAGTGAGCAAATTTCACTCACACAAGTCCATCCTGATCAGAAAATAAAACCTCTTGACAGAAAGATACTGGACGGGGACTTGAAAAAGTTAACTTGCATGGAATAGCACATGGATCAACCTGCGCCTCACTTCCATTGCATGGCATTATTTCTGGCAATGTGAAGATGTATCACAACATTACATTTTAAATGGTTTCACAATTTTAGATATTTAAACAGTTTTATTTTATAAATCATCCAAGTATTTTGCTGAAACTATTTTAATTTATATTATTTTGAAAATTTGCATTCAGCTGTGTCATGTAATCCATTTATAATTAAATTAATTATTTTTAACAAACTTATTTATCTCCATTCCATTCCCATTCAAAAATATTTAAGAATAACACCCCTGTCCAAACCAACTACACAAGCAGTTAAGGGAATTCTTTTAGTAGTGGCAAGTAAAAACTTATGGATTCAATGTATAGAAAACAATGTCACGCTCAAACAGATATCTAAGAACAAGGAAGTTAAAAAAATGCCTGATGATTCTCACCATTTCCTTGAGGAAAATCAACTTTCAGTGGTGTGATGGGTGTTTTATCATCAGCCAAGATGTCAGGAAATGTCACAATTATTTTATTTTTTCTGAAAATTCAAAATGCATTTTTTAAAGTCATTATCCAAAATTTTCTTTAAAATATTTTTAAGATTTCACAATATGCATTAATTTATTGCTCTGAAAATAAATAAAAAATGTGCTTGTATCTTGCAGCTTCATAAAGATACTTAATACTATCCTTTATCCATGATTATATGTTATAAGAAGTATTTGAAAGTTACATTAATTAACATTAAATGTTAATTATTTTTAATGATTAACTTTTTTCTTCATGCCATGAAAGAACATTTGCTAGACAGTTTTACCTCCTGTAGTTAGAGGCCAAGATGGTGAAGTCAATGCTGACCTCAGTGGCCAGGGGTACTGGAGTAAAGAACAGCTTTGGAGGGTTGAACCACATTTTGGGGGACTTGAGCTCGCCATAGATTTCTATGAACTGGAAAGGTTTGCTCCAGTTTGAGTTGATGACCACTGGTATTGTCACCTGATACTGGCCTGCCGATTCTAAAATTTGACAACAAAAAAAGTGATGGAAACCGTTCACACTTTCCCCCCATAAATATTGCATTCAATTTGATACCCTAAAATATACTTTTTAAGATGACAATGAATTATGCATGAGTTAACAACAAATATTTGCACACTTTTATAGGGTTTTTAATTTTATTAGCAAACAGAACCACAATTAAGTTTAATTAATGAACTAAAATTGCAAAATAAATGAGCCACGATCTACCCTTTATGGGATAAATATAAAGAACATGAGTCTTTATATAATAAACATTGTTCATAGAAGAAAGGATTTGTAAAAGGTTAAAAATAATTTCAGGCGTACAGTCAAAATTACTCTAATGTATAATAATGTTACAGATTGAAATAAACTGCCAAACATACTAAAACACTTGACACAACTACAGTTTGTTGTCTGACCTGGGCAGAAGTTAATTAGAATTGTCTTGGACTGGCCAGGCTCTAGAGTTCCTTCAATCCCTCGGCTCTCAGTCAACGCTATAAATGGCAGGCCTTTTTCATGCAGGAACTTGAATGTGCCGTTCTCCAGGTGTTTGTTTTGCTGACTCAGGTCAAAGCCCCAGGTGAGGGCCTCATTGCTCACATTGGCTACAACTACAGCCTGGTGATAATTAACAAATTACAATCAATGCACAATCAAGGTGAACATTCAACAGTGAATACAATGTTGGTGGTTTGTTAATTTTTTTTAGCGCAATTTCCATTCTGGAGAATTGCGTTTATTAACCCGTCATTTCTGGATGTATAAATGTATGAATGTATGAATGGATGGATGGATGGATGGATGGATGGATGGATGGATGGATGGATGGATGGATGGATGGATGGATGGATGGATGGATGGATGGATGGATGTGTGTCCGCAGCTTTAAGTCGTATCTCCTCCTCAACGAAGCAATATCGATGACTAGTTCCAAAAGCAATTATGTTAAGCAAGTTACGAGGATGAACATAGGCTATAAAAATTCCGGGTTTCTTTCATGGATTTCCCGGAAAAGCCAAAAAACCTCAAAAAAAAGCAGTTTTTTGCCCATATCTCGGCAACCAGACCACTTAGCGACTTGAAACATGTACCAATCGATTCCTGCCATAATTTAGAACAATATTGCCTAAGAAAGTTTTCAAAAATATTCTTTCGTTCGGTCACAAAATTTTTTTGAATTAATTAAAATTTGGACCGAATTAGTAGGCATTTTTTCCAACCACACCACACGCGTCATCACGTTCAATAGCTGCACCATCACGTTCTATGGCTTCGTCATCACGTTCAGTAGCTAGGCGCATAATGGTTTTTAGTCATGTAACTCTATTGTAAATAAAACATGTAAAATACTGAAATTTTTTTTTAATAAAAAACGTTTTAATAACTAACCAATGATTTTACTAGCCTTGCTCTTGATTTACGCTACGACAGAGCTATTTTTAGATAACATAAGGAAATTGCGCTAAAATTGTCACTAGACTTTTTAATTAACTTGTTTTACATTAAAAATTGTTGAAAATAAATTAGTTATAATAAATATAAATTAATTATAACTAATATACTATTATAATTTTTTTAAAATGTAAATAGAAGTTCTTGTAAAACTAGATGCTCTAAGCAATAAAAAATACTTACTTAACTAAATTTTAAATTAAAAGCTTCAAATTGTTTTCCCCTTTACTTCCAAATTGTTTTCAAATAATTATGATCAAAATAGCATTTAGTGTTTAAAACATTATAGATTTAAACATAAAACTGAATTTAACCAAAATATAAATATAAATTTTGAAAAGTGTAACCTTTGTGGAGCCCATGGCTATGTTGGTTGAGATGTCATGGAAGTTTAATGGCAACAAGAACTCAATTTTCTTGGCACTAAGTTGTAAGGGCTGGCGCAGTGCTGTAGCTATCACATGTTTCCTTGGGATGTCACTGGTGGGGGTAACTGGCTTGGGGTTGATGATGTGCATACTTGATGATGCACAGCCCCCACTTTGGGCGCGGCTGGAGGGGGCAGGTGTTGTGAAGGGTGCAGGAGATGGATTTGTACCAGATAGCCGGTTAATGACCATTGGGAGAACAAAATCATAAGCTGCGACCTAAGTGAGAAAATAAGACACAAAATCATAAGCTGCGTCCTAAGTGAGAAAATAAGAAACCAAATGTGTTTGTTTTTTCTAAAAAATGTAATATATTTTTTAAAAATAAATTGCATAGGGCAGCTTGTACAATTAAAGACAATATAATTATTCTTTAAATACATATTTAAAAAGCAAATATGTTTCCTTTAGGAACTGGATGCATAAGAATCTCTCATACACATCAGCTTCAGCCTTAAGACCAATACTTTAATCTGGAACACAACAGTAGACACTGTTGCACATCAAAGCTTTTAAAATACACAGACTTGCCCATTTTTTTCCCACTGAGCTTCAAAGTAGATACAATTTCCATTCTGGTTACATGAATGATAGTTTATTGACAAAGGGGAAAAGACAAACCTGAACAGGAGTAAAGGTTAGCTCCCCTTCAATCTCCTCCATAGGTTCTAATGATACAGAAACCATGCCAGGATTTAATGCCTGGAAGTTGTAGTCCTCTGAAAGCACAAATGTAAACAACTTTTAAACATTATTTAAACATGGCAGTCAGGTTTTTTTCTATTTATTTCATTTATTTAATTTGACGAAAAAAAATTTTAAATAAAAAAAAATTAGCCTACAAACCTTGTGACTGATATCCAGGAAATGATATAGCAAAATCTTTGTACTTTGTTAAATCAATTTCTATTTTACATTTTATGTTTCCCTGAAAAAAAAATAATTTTAAATGTAATTTTTAACACTGTTCCTTAGAAAAATCATAAAGGAAAAGCTAAAATGAAAACTAATTTTCTGCAATCTTAAAATATATCATTTAAATTATTCTTATTTAACATATCTGTAGAAGAATATTTAATGTTTTGCAAATATTTTGAGTACAGCAACTTGCCTTATTGGTTAAACTAAATGTCATTGATGCAGAGGATCCACAGTAAACACCACCAAAGTTAAAGGACTCCTAAACATGTGATCAGAAAAAAGTTTACTACTGTGAAAAATGTATTCCAATTATTTTCAATAAGACTTCACATGAAAATTAATTTTTTACATTGATTCAGTTAATGTAAGGTTATAGTTTTTAAAAAATCAATCTCACAGCATTGATTTTAACAGACGGTGCCTCCACACTTCCCCCAATCCTCAACTCCAGAGTTTTACCACCTTTGATGGAAACCTGAATTCTCGTGTCAAACTTGATGATTGAGTCTGGGGTCAGGGACACACGTATCTCAGCATTGCCACCAACAGGAACAACTCCATGGACGGGACTGATGGTCAGGCCAGGTAAAGGGTTGGGGTCAGTGACCTGTAACCAAAACAAACAAGTTTTAAAACATTTACCATCACTGCCCAGCAGTGCTGACAGGTATTAAATTTTGTCCATTGGTCAGTGGGTCACCTGGAAGTATGCGTGGTTGGTGCCAGAGTTGTGCAGGATTCCAATGCCAACAGAGGTCAGGTTCACTGGAGCTGAACCAAAGGAAACTCTCTGATCCAGGAAATTTACATTGCTGAAGCAAAGCTGGAAAAAAAATTTCAAATGTAGTTTTTAAAGAAATTTCTCTGTTTTAAGAAAAGACAGAAATAGTGATACTTATAGGAAAGTAAATATAGAAACATTACACATAAAGTGATACACAGTAATAGTGATATGAAGAGAATGTGATGCTTGGAAGAAAAGATAAAAAGAACTAATACAAAGGGGAGATAGAGATTTGTCCAATTGTGAGAGCTGTGTTCACTTCTTTAAGCTCACTGTTAAAGCCCTTGGTGTTATTCTGTTTGGTAAGCTCAACATTTTCTCAAGCTGGTATTATTTCTTAAAGATTGGAAAAATGTCAGCAAATTCTACGCTTTTGGAAAACTGAAATCTTCCTTAAATTGATGAAGATTTGATTTGCTACAAATAACAATTGGAGATGTTTTCAAGAGTTTAAAGAGTAAGGGTGTACCTCTGCTTTACAGGATAGGCTGCGAGACTCCCCGCCATTGACCAGCAGGGTGAAGGAGCCATCCTCAGGGGCCAGGTAGGAGGGGTGCCACACAACCTCACAGTCCAGGTCACAGCCAGGTTCTACAACTCCAGTGCTAGGTCTGATGGAAAATGCTGTCCCTTTCTCCCCTAGGTCAGGTGACCATGTAAACTCAGCAGGAAAGTTGAGTTTGTTGTACAGAGTTATCACACTTCTATAGCCTGCAAAATAATCAGAGGGTAGGTGTTATTTTACATTTGAACATTTTTTTTATATTTGAGCAATATAATGCAATAAATGCTTCAAAATGCCTCCATAAATTATAGGTAATTTGTAACCACAAAAAAAAAGGATCAAAATAATTTCTATGTAAAATGAAAATTACCACAGCTCCAGTTGGCAGTACTTAAAGTTAGCTCTAGTCTCAGTCAACAGATTATTTGTTTAGTCCATGGATTATAAAACTAAGAGGGATAACTCTGATGCAGTGTGGTGTTACCTGCTTCTGCTGGCATCCCCTGATGTGGTTTCAACACAAGCTTGTTTGTGGACAGCTCCAGTGCCACAGGAACCACTTCAGCAGTGACTGTCACATGATGCTTGAAGAAACCATTGACTGTGTACAGCACAGATCTGGAGAAAACACAGATTTTGTAAACCAAATCAAAGTTATCAACATTCATTCGGTAATATCATCATCTTTTCCCTTTTTGTGCCAAAACAAAAAGTCTGGAGAATTTATTCAACATAGAACAGTGTTACCTCTGAAATTTTCCTCGAGTGTTAGATTCAAATATGATGGGGATGACAGCTTTTGAATGTGGAGGAACAACTTGAGACAGGGGACTGCTCTGTCTAAGTTCTCTGCAATCAATCTGTCAATGACAAATATAAACATAATTAAACTGTCAATGACAAATATAAACATAATTAAACTGTCAATGACAAATATAAACATAATTAAACTGTCAATGACAAATATATATTTCCTTGCTGGACAAAAATGTTGTAACCAGGTGAAAGATTAAAATAAACACATTTCTTAGCCATGTTTGACAAGATAACTTGAATGCTTTTAAAAATTTTAATGGATAAAAAATTATTTTATTAAATGTGAATCTTATTTCAGTTACCCATTTTTAAACTAAGGCATCAGTGATAACTGAAATGTTGAATAAAATTTAAGAACTTATACCTCTGCAACCAGATGAATGTATGTGTCAAGGTTGTTAATAATATTCAGTTCCTTCTGGCACACTGAGCGCAGACAAATCACACCAAAGTCTATTGTTGGAGGTCCTGTAATTTTAAGATATTAAAACATTGAATGCAAGTTTTCTTCTAACTACAACCACATACAGTAACTAAGTCACCTGATAATAGTACCCTCAAGTTCCTTGTATGAAAGCAACAGATGTTTTTAAGTCAAGATTTAATTTTCTGCACATGTAATCCAAAAATGTTCATCAAATTTTTTTTTTTAAACCAGCAAACGGTTAAAATTTTAATCAGTTTACCAATAACATGATATGGCAATAACTTACTAATCACTACATGGTATAGGGCTAAGATTAATTGTAATAACTTACCAATCACTACATGATGTAGGGCTAAGATTAATTGTAATAACTTACCAATCACTACATGATATAGAGCTAAGATTAATTGTAATAACTTACCAATCACTACATGATATAAGGCTAAGATTAATTGTAATAACTTACCAATCACCACATGATGTAGTTGCTGAGGAGTCAGCCAGCGATTGCAATCTTTCTTTTCCTGCTCAGTGATGGGTATGGCATTTAAGCCTTCACACACCTGCCAGAAATAATTTAAAATGTCAACACTGTGAAAAATATACCCATAAGCTAAAAAAAACAAAAACTTGCTAATCTAGAACAAAAACAACTTCATTAAAAGATTAAATGAAATACACAAGCCAACTCACAGGTTTAGACACAGCTTCTTTCTCCAGTTCTGCTAGTGTTTTAGTACTAAGCAGCTTCCACTCTGCATTAGGTTGAACTGGTGCTGAGAATTTTAAAATTTTCTCATTAATGATTGTAAAATAACACCAAATCCTAAGTATTTTATTGGAAACAATAATAATTGTAACAATTTCGAGACAATTAATGTTACAGAAATACTAACGCAGTGGGTCAGATTTTATGTCTTCTAATGTCAACTTTTTGGGGTATATGCCAGCACCATTTTTAATTCCAATATCCATATTATTGTTGGTCTCAAGGAACTCTCTGTTGAAAATCAAGTAAATGTACCAATAAATAAACAAAAGTATTAAAGCTATATCATACTGGAATCAATGTATTATTTTATATTTGAGTCATGTAATACATAATTCTAATACATAAATTTTAAAAAGCTGAAATGTGACAGAAATAAATGTATCAGATTAAAAAAAAAGTAATGTTCAGCGTGACACACCTTTTCATCTTTCTGATCTCCTGTTTCCTCTGCAGTTTGTTTATGTCCTTCAAGAACATCAACTCTTTTTTCTTTTTTATCTCTATCTCCATGTCATCAAAGGCATAGTCTGGGTCAATGTAGTTGTACCGCTCAACACCAGTGAACAATGTTCTATAATTTAAGAGATTACATTGTAATATTTAATAACAGCTTTTTTATTTAATATCATAGATAATAGTTAATGGAACTTTTAAAATAAACCCACTAAATAAACCCCGTAACATTTTTAATCACTGAACTTACTTATAACGCTCATTGCGATCAAATGAGCGAATGCTCTGAGCTCTGTCATTTGGAAAAGCCACTTTGATTTTATCATCACAATCAGCAGATTTTATAGCTCTGTTTTTCAGTCTATGGAGCTTGGTTCTAGTGGAGCCCCCTACAGCTATTCTTAAATCCTGCTCTTTCAGGTCACTGAAAGTAGTTTCTATGTTCAGTCCAACTTCATTTGTAATGTATGGAGTTATACCTGTCGAATGATTTTTTAAAAATTGTATTTGTTATAATTTAATTTATACTGCAATACAAAAGGATATTAAAGCAAATAGTTATATGCTTACAGATACAAAGTATATAATTAATTTTTAGAGATTTCCTTATCTAGAACTAAACAAAAAGGTTCTCCAAACCTGTGTTAAACCTGGGTTTTGGAACTTGTCGCACTACATTACTAAAACCTGTTAGTTTTATAGGTAAAGAGTAGATAACTTCTGAGTGGTAAAAGTGTGGGTTGTTGGTTTCACCTACTTGACCTATGACCTCTAGCAGCATGGTTGGTTTAAAGTGACCTGGTAAGAAAATATCAAAACAGTTTTCAAAAATTAAACTTAACATTATTCATTATGCTTAAAATATTTCTTTCTATAAATTTTAAAATACACAGTTAAAACATTTATAATAAACCTTACAGTCGATAAGGAAAAAAAATTATTACATTTGTAAATAAGAAGTCTGATAATGAATACAAAACGTATGTGATTGTCTTCACCAATAAAATCTACATCATTAACTACCTGCTTGCTTAGGTGCAAATGAAAAGATGACATCCTGTGTCTGTCCAGGTGATATTTTTCCATTAGGAGGATGGGAAGTGAAGTGAGCAACTCGTTTAAACTCAAACAGCACAGGAAGAATTTTCGACTCGTTTTTAACTGTGCACAAAATATCTGCATGCTCATTTATTGGACATTCTCCAAAGTCCAACTTGGCAGTTGGGTAGATGTTTAACAAAACTGGCAGAGCGGTTCCAGTCATTGCAATCTCTAGTTGTGAGTCTGTTTAGAATACATTTTTAAAAATCTATACTAATGTATTTTAAACCTACATTATTGATATTTAAAAAAAAAAAAAGGCTTACAAAAATAATTATTGCTCACATTTAAAAGACTCTAGCCTGTTTATAAGTATAAAAATAAGACAAACAGAGATTTCAACTGTTACTTTAGTGTATGCTGATTTTAGTTTACCTTTTTCAGAAGGGCTGAATTCATCATTTTTAATAAACCCCTCACTGGCACCAATAATCATGATCTTCATGTACAGCGCGAAATCCTTTCTTGGTGGGGGACACATGAAATTTTTCCAGCCTTGACTAGATGGATACCATCTAAACAAAGTGTAATAAAACGGCTCTGGTATGTATGTACATAAATGTTTTTATAGTGATTTACAATAAACTTTATTTTTTAAAGTGACAATAGATACTGGAGTGCTGAGTGAGTAAGCATGACATGAAATAATGGAAAAGGTGTACCTAACTGTGATAAGCAAGCATGATTAAGAAATAATTTTTAAAAATAAAAATTTATTTTATGTGTGCTATTGTGTACACCATAGGGACAGCAATATGTATAAGAAACACATAAATTGATGTAAAGAACATGAGTTTATGATGTCAGAAGCCATTAATCGATAATGAACAAGTAAAACTTACCTGGGTGAAAATTTAAAATAAATAGGAACCTTCTGATAAGGCTTCAGAATTCCTTGATTAGGAATAGCTGTTACCAGGGAAATGATGTCATTAGTGTGGCCAGTATTTTTTGTGTCATTTGCTTCTTTGGCCAGAGCCAGTGTTGTGGACTGGGTCAGGTCAACTCCCTGATAGAAATAGTAAACAATTTAAGTGTACAAGTCATCCATTTGTTTGTTGGCTACTTGTGTAAGTAACATAAGTAGATATAGCATTCATACTTGAAAACTAATAACTCATTTACAAATGCAGAACTGTTAACCAACTGTAAACTTTTTACTTAATAATTTTTGTGAAGTAAATTGTTATTTTTGGACCTTACAGAACACTGTATACAAACATACAAACTACTTACAGATTCCTCAGCAAGTGCATTCTCATTTAACACAGCAACAAAGCTGATTGGTTCAGGCCCATTGTTGTATAAAACTGCACACTGTGTCTGCTCTGTACCATAATATGTGTTGCCAAAATGGATGCAGTCTACTCTGGTGCCATCCTCTTTTATAGACAGGAGTTCCAGGGTCCTCTCAGTTATATACCCTTTAATGGTAACTTTAGTTTTACTTCTGCCTTCAAGAGCCACACTGGGTAATAAAAAAGTTATAAAAATACAGTTTTGATTTCAATGTAATTTGCAATTCTCATTTTTAAAATTCCAAAAAGCTCATTTTATTCATAGTAAAATTGATGTTTCATTTAATATACTTTAGATTTTACTATAAAATGATCATTTGGATACAAAGTTCTCACTTTCAAAGATTATCTTTATTGCAATAGACTTAGTTATTTATTGCCACTGCTTCCACTTCTTTCATTTGCTATTAGTTTTGTGAAAATTTTAAATTTATGGTGACAATAAAAATGAGAAGTATTCTAAAACTAACATCACACAGCAAGCTTTTCTTGATACACTCCATGTTACTTACTCAACAGTTTCTTTGAATTTTCCAGGAGTTTTCATGACATACTCTACCTGTAATTATTTTTTTTTTAAAGTGAGAATTTAGTAACTGGAAGTAAGGATTTGGATTGGATTAAATTTTCGCATTGCATTTTCTGGTCACAGTACAAAATGGTATAAACAAACCATTCTAGTGTATAACAGTACAAAGCTCAACAAAACAAATCCCCCACCTTTACTCTCATTTCACTGTTTGGTGGAACTGATCCTGACATGGGAATAAACAAAAGAGGATTGTTTCCTTCATATGTGAACTCAAAATCTCCACTTTTAGAACCTTTATTGATGAGGGTTATATCTTTGGAAACAACCTTACAGTTGGCAACAAGGGTACCAAAGTCAACTTCATCCTCAATGTCCAGCATTGGCTGAGTTGGATACCTATTATAAAAAAAATTTACAAAATATTGCTGTAAAAATATTATAAAAATAACTTAATCCAGCCAATGATTCTGAAATATATCGCATTAGTAATGTCATAAAGTGTAATTACACTAATTAAATATATCATTTCATTTTTTAATGTGAAAAATTTGTATAATTTTCTTTTATAAAAGTCACCACCACAAAATTATTTACAAGGGTACTTACGCGAATAAAGGTACTTCAATGACATTTCCATCCACTGTTATCACAATTTTGTCACTATTTTCACAGTCTACTGCTGACTCATAAACAACCACGCCTGACACAGATAACCCTGGCGCAACTGGCTCTTCTGGATTTTTTACTTTCAACATAAAAAACTGCAAGGATGTTAATAAAAGAATGGATTAGTATATAACATTAGCCATTATTGCATTATAAAGGGCTAAAATTAAAATAGCACTCATTGTTACTCATTTAAATAAACTTTCAGTTCATTTTTTTCTCTTAATTTATGCAATTAATATATCCAGTGTTGGTATATGTTATATGAACTGGATAGTTTTCTTTTATTTTCAAATACTAAACTTAACAGAAAAATCTACACAAATTGTTAATTCAATATAATGGATATCAATTACTTAACTTCTCAAACAAATCTAACAAAAAATATATAAAAATTGTATACATTATATTTTAAATGTATATACACATAGAGTAAAGTGGCATCTGCGGACAGTTGCCTCTGTGTGGACACCTTGCTGTTTTTCGCTTAAACAATAATTGTATGAATGTTTTATATGAAACTAACGCAAACAACACAAAGCATGTCCATTTTTAAACACATCTGAGTCAATTTCTTCTATTTCACTCAATAGGGAGATTAATTGGAATTTTTCAAAGTTGCGATGTATGACGTTTTATGTAGGGAACCTCACCCGGATGAAGAGCACTAGTCCCCGGATTAGAGGAATAAAACGAACCAATCATAGCTTAGTTAACTGGGTTAACTATAAATAGCTTATATATATATATATATATATATATAGAAAGCTATAAATATCATAGTTAAGGTTATTTAAGCCATCTTAGAGGAAAAATTGGGGTGTCCGCATAAGGGATATACCTTTTTTGAGGGTTAACCTTTTGCGGACACTAATGAAAAATCAGAGTATATTTCTTACACTTTAAGTAAAAAGGAGCTTTGAACTAATCTTGATACTCCAGATTTATATTTAAATTTAAGTCTAAATCTAGATCTATAAGTTTTTAGTAATGTTTTTAGGTTTTAAAAATATTTTTGATCATCAAACGTGTCTACTAAGCAAAAAGTGAAATAAAATCTCAACTGGGTCCTGAGTTTCTTTCAGGCATCACTTTAATTTAATTAAAACTTATTTCATATTTCTTCATATTTTTTGTTTTCCAATATATTAATATATAAAACTATCAACAACACTATTTATGTATGTAACATGTTTATTTCAATCATTTAAATAGAAACAGAATGAACAAAATATGCCTTGTCCGCATAAGGAGCAAGTGTGCGCACAGAAAATAAAATGTAAAAAAAAGTGCACTTAGTGTCCGCACAGAGTCTCACCACTGAAAATGTTAATACATTCAATGCTATGCGTATGAATACAAAATGAATCAGACGTGATTAAACTAGAAAGAATGCGGAGTAAGACGGTACTTTCGGTTTGTTTCTATGTAAAACGGTTACTGAATGGCGCTCAATGGAAATCGGCACTTCCGATTTTTTTTGCTACGTCTGTCCGCAGACGCCACTTTACTCTAGGTAACTCTCTATTTCCCAAACAATAAAAGCAAGATTAATGCCAATTTTGAAATCAAAGTAAAAGAATTAAATGTCCAATTTTCAAACATCTTATTTAAACAAAACAAAACAAATTACGTTTTTGTTTTGTTTCTTATAAAGCCATTAACATGGAATCTAATAATTAAAATAGAAGTTTTTGAATTTTAAATCAAATTTAGTGAATAATTTACTGGAAAGAAGTCTACAGGTCCACTGTGTGCATACTGTAGCTATAGTAGGATAATACATTTTTTATTTTATAAATTAAACGTGATTTAAAGTAAAAAGAAGATACAAAGTTGATTAAAATGATGCAAAGACTGGTTTTCTGTTCAGAAACAAAAGGAAATGACATTTTTTTTCAGTTGAAGTAAGGTTAAATAAAGGACTGGGTTAGTGCTTGTTATAGGTTGACTGACTATTCCATTTTTCAATGTTAGGGTTGATGGTATATTAATATTTTCAGTCAGGTTGATGTAATAATGATGAATGCAAAAAAGCTTTAATGCTAACTCCGTAAAACTACACATTAGATAGGCCTACTGGTTTTAAGTTTAAGCCATGCAACATTATATTATTCTTCTACTAAATCTACATATACTAACTACATAATAATAATATTAAACATTAGTAAAGTTTTAAATATTAGATAATTCAATATTTCACTTGACTCTTTGTATCCCTAGTGACCCAAGCCCTAGCAGTAGCAGAACTTCTCCCTGGCCAGTTTTTAAAGCTTTATTTGTTCCTTTATTCATTACCTAAAGCCTAGGTAATGAATAGAGTTATGCTTACCTCTGATTTGGGTCCATAGTATCTTATGTTTTTGCTCGACGTACTAACGTTGCGCACAGTAATCGGAATCTCAAAACGAGTGTATGGTTTAGTATTGAAAAATTGAACAACTGGCGGTATTATCCGCACTCCTAATACATCACCTTCCATTTTCTATCGTATATTTAAAGTACAACCCCAGTGGTAAACATTTTTTAAAAGATTCAAGAGCACCACATAGTCTAGATTTACTATAGTACAGAACAGTGACAGTAACACCGGATATTTTTCTATTTGGTTGCTTGGGACTCTTGTAGACATTTTATTTTATAGAGAACATTTCGTAATTTATTTTATTTTCATATATAATATATATCTTGATATTTTTAACTAGTTAAACATATTAAATTACTATATAACAAAAGTTAAATATTTATCCATTTATTAGCTTTCTTTAGAATATTTTTACAAATGGAGTGTAGCTCTACATGAGCGTTTCTATGTCGCCATTTTGTTGTCATGTACTCGAAAACTGTCTTGTAAACAAACCATATCGTATCAGCAGTCATGGGGGTTGATTATTACGATATTTTGGGGCTAACTCGAAGTGCAACAGATGCGGAGATCAAAAAATTGTGAGAATATAATAATTATGTATATCTAGATATATTTAATTAGCTAATAAAAATTATATTTTCTTAAAACTTTAAAATAGTAGTAGTGGAGTTGGATGTGGAGTGGATGTGTGTGACTTACTCTTTCTGGTTAGTCACTTGACTTATTCGTACCCAACACACAACTTACTACCGACTAACTACACTTCAAGTTCATTAATTTCTTATTAGTCAACAATAACTGGATTTCTAATACTAATACTATAACTATAGGCCTAAGTAAGTAAGTTTCCCTTTCAAACCTGACGGTCTATATGTAGTCTATGAGTCTATGACTATGAGTCTATGGGGCAAGTGAAGTAGAGTTCACTTGTTTCTGTGACCTCGGCATATGAAGAGATAGTGTGGTCAGCACAATGCCCAGCCACCTTTACTCTCCCTAACGTGAGTTACTAAATAACTAAATTATTTGATTAGGCCTAAGCCTAACCTAATAAACAATATAAATACTCTAATAATAGTAATAAACTTCAAAATCATTTTTTAAAACTTCATTGGTCATTAAATAAAATAATAAAAAAGTTTATTAAAGAGGGCCTTATGGTTCAGTAATTATTAGGCCTAAATTAAAACTTTCATTAGTTTCAACTTTTTTAGGCCCTGTCGTTGTCTTATTAATTATTATTATGTTTAGGCTCTATGTAATACTATGTATGATTAGTTACTGATTAGTATAGTATGAACTTATAGTGATTTATACTATACTATAGTTTAATTTTATTATTTAAAGCCAATTATTTATTATTTATAACTTTTAAAGATTAAAGAACAAATGTTTTATTACTACTTTATTGTACATCACATGATGTCAGTTGAGATGGGATGTGGTAGATCTAGATCTATAAGGAATTCACATGGACTTGTTTTTTAACATCTTCTGGGTACTGATTTACTATCATGTACAATTGACATCTGCTAGATACCTGAACATTTTGGTCCATAAGGGTATAGATACCTACAAACAAGTGTTATCTAATTGCAGTGTAAGGTTTCAATAAGAGTTAGATTTGAGGTTAAGTTCAGCCAGAGAAATAGACAACCTATGATTGACTGTGATGTGCACTATCATATCTTTTGACATTTTGGACCTATTAAATTGATTACTAGGTTTTTCCTGTGTGCTAAGAGATATATCTACATAACACAATCTGATATTCAAAATTGGCTTAACTTGTCCTTGCATGGTCGAAGGGTAAAGCATTTGACTGTAATGTTTGGATCCCTGGCTCTAGTCCATAGGACGTATGTTCACCCAGCTCTAATGGGTATCTGACTAATGTTAGGGAAAGTAAAGGTGGCAGGGCATAGAGCTGACCACACTATCCCTGCTGAGGTCACTGAAATAGATGAACTCTACTTCATCTAGCGTAATGTTAAAAAAAAGTACAATTATTACAGCTAATTACCATTAATAAACAGAACTTGTTTATTATAATATTATAATAATTTTTTCTAAATTTCAGCTACCGCAAATTATCCTTAAAATACCATCCAGACAAAAATGAAGGAGATCAAAATGCAGCTGACAAATTCATGCAAGTTGCTGAAGCATATGATGTACTTTCAGATCGTAGGTTATTTATATATTTAAATATTTTTATTTACTAATTTTCTAGTAACATTCTAACCACAAAAGCCTACAACCACTTAGTTTAGGTAATGAAATAATTTATTGTCTTGATATCTCTGTAATCTACTGTAGCTTTTGGCTAATTGTACTGGAAAAAAAAAGAAAAACTCAGGCTCTAACCCCTTCTTAAAACAGTATAAATATCAGTGATAAATACCTTATCAATTTTTATCATTTTTCGCTTTATTAGTTTTTCTTTTGAATTGCAGCAATTTAATTTTTAAACCACATTAAAGTTTTTTTTATGCTTATAACTTGTATTTTATTTTTGACAATGATAGCCAGAAAACGTGCTGTGTATGATCAGTTTGGTGAAGAAGGTTTGAAAAATGGAGTTCCTGCAGGAAGTGGAGAAGCTGGTGCCTGGGTTTTTGGTTATACATTCCATGGGAATCCTGAGAAGGTTTTTAGAGATTTTTTTGGCGGTGACAATCCTTTTCAGGGTAAGTTACTTGTGCTTGCCAAATTTATCACTTTGAATTAATTGATCATACTTACATCATTACTAATTTGATTTTTCATCTTTCTTTAAAAGAAAAAAATCTTAGAATATAAATACATTAACATGTTGGATCCAAATGATTTATTTCTGTAATTTCAGAGTTTCATGATAGAATTGATGGTGACTTAAGTATGGGATTTGGTGGCTTACATGGACGAGGTGCTAAAAAACAAGACCCACCTATAGAGAGAGATTTATATCTTAGTCTTGAAGAAGTTTTCCATGGTTGCACAAAAAAGATGAAAATTTCAAGAAGGGTAGGTGTACATTTTATGTACTGAATCTAGTGGCACCCACTTTGAGTGTGGTTTTTCAGTAGATTCAGCCTTATTGAAGAATTCTCATTATTTGCCAAAAGCATGGTCTGAAACTCTAGATTTAATTGTATTTACTATTTTACCACAGACTATTCATATCTTAGTGTCACGTAATCTCGATAGATAATATAGTTTATTTTTGTACATGTAGTTTAAAACAGTTTACTTTCTCACACTGACAAATTTATTGTTCTCAACACTAGGTTATGAATGATGATGGACACACCTCAAGCATACGAGACAAAATTTTGACCATTACAGTAAAGAAAGGCTGGAGGCCAGGCACAAAGATAACATTTCCTCAGGAAGGTGACCAGGGTCCAAATAATGTACCAGGTATAATAAATAGTTATGTCAAATGTGTATGGGTTGTTCACAAATTTTCATCTCTAAGAAAGATGATCTTATTTTTATTTTGAGTACACCCAAACAGTACTGTTCACACAATGAATAAAATTGCCATAATTAAAAGCTATGTTTATGCTTATTTATGTTCACATTTTTATTTTTACTACAGGTTTACAAAATTTTTTAGGTCACTCAATATTTATCTTCTACAGCTGATATAGTGTTTATTGTTAAAGACAAACCTCACCCAAGATTTCGTCGTGATGGTGCTAATCTTATCCACACAGCCAAAGTACCTTTAGGTAGAGCACTGACTGGCTGTACAGTAGAAATCCATACTTTAGATGAAAGGATTCTCCACATACCAATCAATGATATTGTCAAGTAAGTTTTTCACTTACACAAATAGCATCTAGTAGGAAAGAGCTGTAAAGGTAGTAGTGTTGTTGAGTGGTAGGGCATACTACAGCTCCCCTGAGAGTTTCAAGCTTGTTCCAGGCTTAATTCTGTAGTATCTCACTGAGTCCACTCAGCTGTGCCAAGTACCCTGACTCAAGTCAGGAAAAGTGAGGGCTACTTGGTCATTGGTAGTATGCTGGCCATATACAATCCTTACATACGTTGATGTCAAAATGTATGAACTTTATCCTACCTATGAACTATCATTATATATTGTTTTCTTACTTCTACTTTTATAAAATTAACTGAGATACACATAAAATGTCTATGTAATCATAAAAAAGTATCAGAAGTTCATGACATTTTTTTCTGCCCAGACCTGGATACAAGAAGATTGTTCCTGGAGAGGGCATGCCACTGGTTGTTGCTCCATGTGATAAAGGAGATCTCATCATTGAGTTTGATATTGAGTTTCCAACCTCCCTCACACCAGAGAAGAAAGAGCATGTGCGAAGAGCGCTTCTATATTAGATGGGGTAAACTAAGCAAAACTTGGTGTAGGTGTGATGTTAAGCATTGTTTTAGTTCCTATTAAATATATTTCAGATAACTGACTATAACTTTGTTTTTCATTATGTAAAAATTATACATTTTGCACACAGCAAAGAGACAATATGCTGACAAATAACGTAAACATTTACAATATGTAATGTTATTTAAAACTTTGAAAGAAATATGTTCTCTGTTTTTTATTCCAACAATCTGTTGCTCCAAATATTAATTTGTTAACCTTATTGAAAATGTCAACATTAGCAATTTCGTCATCAATATTATCAAACTTACTTCATGATTACATCCTCGATATAAAGTAAATAAATTTGAATAATGATATTGATAAGTTTGATTTTGTGAATGAAGTACACATTAAGCTTGTTTTTTAAATGTAATATACTATGGATTTAAATAAAACTTTATATTGACTTTAATGTCATCTTGTTTTTTAGTAGTTGTTGTCAGCAATCAATTACTATTTACACATTAAAAATATAATTAATTTTAGTTTTGAACAGCTAATAGGATACATCTGGCTAGTTAAATATTTTGTATTTTCACAAAACAGGTATGTATAAAAATTGTAAGAAACCAATTTTAGAAAAAATAAAAATTGAAACTTTTATTTTTTAAAATCTGGCTGTGAGTCTAACAAACCATAAATACAACAATTTTAACTTCATCATTCTTCCATATCATTGATTATATACACAAACAAACTCTTGAAATGGCAAACAGCTCACTCAAAACATCTTTTAGTCCTCCACTTTCCCCTTTTTAAACAAAAACATTCCTGAAAGAATAAAAATATTTTTAAAAGTTGTAAAAAATTTACACAAACACCTTTATATAAGAGTCAAATGATAGAGGCCTAAATAACATAATATTAATAAATTTCTTCTATTAGTACAATATTGTGTTACCTGTTATTTCTTTGAAGGAAAATTTTGAAAGAATGCTTAAGAAAAAATAGTAACCAGTGTTGAAATTGAGAAACCAAAAAAAGGTGAATAAAGCCATTACATTCAAAACTCAACTGAATACCTTTTAAATATTGAATCCTAAGTCTCTCATACACTGTTTATGTTTTTCAATCAAATCCCCACAGTTTTCTTCTCCCTTTTGAATGACGCTGTGATACATTGAGGAAAATTATAAAACTCATTGAACATTTTTACAACTGTTAGTAAAAATAATAAGTAATCTATGAAAAACAATGCTTTAAGTACATTGAAAAAGGCAAATGTTGAGTTTAAGATGGAGATAAATGCCTAATAAAAATATTGAAAATATATATAACATCTTTGACTGGGTTGATGATTTTTTTTCAAATAGATGAACATTTAAAAATGATCAAATGGCAAAGATTAAATGGAGTCTAATTAGCATATAACATTAATCCTGGTAATTTAAGTTATCTAAGGACATTGTCTGTAGAGATTGTATGAGTATATTCACTATAAATTGAATGTAACAATTTTATCAAGATAGAATCTATGTCAAAACAGCCAAGCATAGATAACAAAAAGAAAATAAAACGTAATCAATGATTTAGGAGTTGTCTCTCCTAGAAGAGTGGCTGTCCCCAGCTAACGAGCCTTATCTGCCCAAGGGTTCAAACTCGAGACTTTTCAGTTTAGTAAACATAAGCTTTACCGCCTCGACTACGTCAACCCCAGACTTACATGTAGGATTAGCACTATATTACTGCTATACTAAATGGGACAAAAAGACTGAGTAATAGGATACAACAAGGAAAATTATTGTTACCATTCATCTCTGGCCTTTTTTGTTTCTGGGCAAGCACAGCAGGCTTTACACTTGGGCTTTTCTGTAGCAGAGTTATTTGTGTCTGCTAAAGGTGTCTGTGCATTTACAGCTGACATTTTAAAATCTAAATAGTAAATAGACACAAAAATTACAAATTAACATACAAAATATCTATTCTATACAAAGTATTGAGCCTAGCCTATTTTGGGATTATGTAATATGATATATATAATACATGAAAAACACAAACAGTTTAACTTAACTAACAGCAAGAGTCTGGTAGAATCTAATAGGGCCTGCTTAGTTAGATATACTCAATATATTCCAACTAGTCTAGTCTAGAGAATGTGATGTTGTCTTAGTCTTACAGAAGATCATTTAACAAGTCACTACACTGACTAGATCTAGAAACTACTCTAAAACTCTACTTAGTGATTCAAGTAAGCAACACCTAGTAGCAAGACTAGATCTACATTAGATCATAAAATTATAAATGATTTCAGAGTCTAGCTAGAGTTACAGCTAGATCTAGCAGAATCTACTAGTAGTAGATAATCTAGCTACTAAACTAGCTAGAAGACTAGATCTGAGTAGAGTACTGTAGAGACTCTACCTACAGTCTACACTGAGTCTGCACAGTCTACGACTACAGGTGTGTGATCACTTGCTAGATCTAGTTGCTAGAAACAAAGTTCATGTTAGGGACTTTGAGATAAATTTCAAAATGATTTATTTAAGTAAAAAAACATATCATCACATAGAACTACATAAAATTAAGACAAAACAGTTTACTTTTTTCAAAATAGGACATTCCATTCAAAAGTTATGATTTTTTTACTGAATATTAAAAAGTTACTACAGGATTTAATCATTAAATTAAATAATTTTAATGGTAATTTTCACGGGCAAATGTTGTGTGTAATGCATAGCCGGCATAGCCTATAAAATTATAAATCAATGCCAAATCTTTATTAGAGCCCACATGGAATTTTGTATTCAAATTTTCAGAGTTTCAAGATAAATGTGTTTTGAAGTAGAATCTACCTAAGTCCTAAACCTAACATTTTTTTTAAATGTGTGAAGTGTGATGAAATATTATAATATGTGTCTAGCCTACTAGATTTCTAGATCTAGATCTAGACTCTAGATCTAGATCTAACTAGAGTAGAGAGTAGAGAGTAGAGGGGATACCACGCCCTAATTCTGAAAAGTGTTTTTTTTTAAAGTAGATTCTTTATCGTGGTTCTAAATATTATATTGAATATTGTTATCATGTCCAAATTCTAACATCTGCAAGGTGTAATAATAATGATAGTATTAGTATGGAACCCCACCATAAGAATATAAATAAATAAATATTAAATAATAAATAATTTAAATATTAAATAAACTAAAACAGTTCAGGCCTAGGCCTAGTTTATAAGTTTTTATAGTTTATAGACTAGACATAGTTTATAAGCTACTTCTCTACTTCCCACTTGTAGTTGAACAGTTCTTGAATGAAAATTATAGATTATCTATTAATTTATATTTTCATAAATGATTAGATCTAAATCTAGATCTAGAAATCTAGATCTAGATCTAGAATCTACATACCGTAAAAAACTACGCGTCACGTAATTTCGGTTATTTCAATGTCACAGAGAATCTTCTGTAAAAACGAAATTGCATAAGTTATCTACCCTAAGTGGATCATTAATTTTACTTAAACTTATGGCAACATATTTTGTTTATAAAAAAGTGTTTAGTGAATTAATTTATATTTTTCTTCATTTCTAACACAGTTTTATTTTAAAATATAACATTTTATTTTAAAATTTAATTTTTTTTTATTAAATCTGGTTTTTAGAATTTAAGTAGATGACTTTCAAAAATGATCTAGATTCTAGGCCTACTGATAACCATTTCTACCGGAAGTAGCCTTATTGATAGACTAGGTCTAATGTTTATAAACATTGAAATGCGGAAAGATTAGAAATCTATAATCTAGATCTAGATTTGTAGGCCCACTTCAAATAAATTATAAATCTTGTTTTGGCGAGAATTAGATACCTACAATCTATATCTCAATAAGGCATAAGGTCCTAAGCCCTGTCCTAAGGTAATATTTATTATAGTTTCCTTTATTTTTCATAATTCATTCATCAATGACTCACTCATCATCTGGAGACGGTAGAATAATTCGATCCTATTTTTTTTTTAATTTGAGTAATCTAGCCTACTTAACTTAGTAAGTAGATCTAGTACTTACTACTAATAAGTTCTACTTACTAACTAATCTAATGTATCATTTTAGTTAGGAACTGTGGTAAAAATTTAGAGAAAACCCTTGATATTTCATAGTATCCGCCGCCAACCAATCAAACGCGCGCTTTCAACGCGTTTTGGTTGGCGGCTGACGTCACGATGACGTCACGCGACCCGTAAACACGGCGTTTTTGGAGCTAAAAAGGGCCGAAAAAGCCATTTTTTCTACGTGTAGTTCGGATTTTTTTACGTTTTTTAAAATGGGCCCGAAAATGACCCTTTTTAGAAATGGACATAGCCATTTTTTCGAAGAATTAATTCAAAAAAGGGCTGTTTTGAGCTATGTTTCGATGTAAACAAAGGCCCATGTCAACACGTGTCAAACCACGTGAAGGCACCCGATCGACGATTTCGGTCACGCATGAGTGGTTTTCGTACGTTCTCGTGAACTAAATACCAGTTTCTTGACAACAAATTGGAAAACGACAATTTCGTGAAAATAACGACCCTAGAGGAATGGCTTTTGAAGATTATTAAATAAAAATCGATGTATTGGCTACATGTGTTGATTCTAAAGTTGTCTATAATTGACTAGTAGGGCATGCTGAAACAACGGCCTTAGGGCGCCGTGTAGTGTGTAGTTTCGCTAAATGTAAATTAATCAGCCCGGCCGCAGATCGACCGCAAACTGTTAAATTGGTTGAATGTGAAAAGCATACTACTTACAAATTACTTTTGAATATTCACATCACACAAAATAATCCCAAAGAAAGCACAAAATAAAATCCGTTAGAAAAGCATCACCATGAAATTTGAAAACCACAGTATGTCAACCTTAACCAGCCATCTTTGGCTCGATCTAGAGGTCATTCTTTAGCCTACAGCCCTACACGGCCTACACATGTGCCTTGCCAATAAATTTAGTTTCTGATGGTACACGACATTAGATCAATATATTAATTAACAAACTAACTGAATTCCAACATACTATCACTCTAATCCTAAAATGAAACAGAATTTGAAGCACAATGATCTAACGAATAAATCCCACTCTAAGTAAGTGTCGCAGCTCTAATCCTGGATACAACCGTAGTGTGTAGTCGTGTTGTGAGTAAACTTGCACGAGATAAAACACCGACCTAGACCTTCCTGATGTTGTGTATGGCCCCAAAGTGAAATGCTGGGAGTAGGGGAGGGGAATTTAACAGCAGAATATTTTTTTTCAGTAGTTACGTCACCAGTAGTTCACGCATCCTAACGGGGTTGAAAGTGTAACTTTATATTCAATTAGGCAAAAGGTGGAGGGTGGTGTCTTTTTAGTCGAAGAATACGGGGAAGCCGGCATTTGAAGCCGGCATTTCATTATTGTCATTGCTATTGAGTACAACCCTTTATTCTAGTTAAATGCATGACTAGGCTACTCATTACAAAATCTAAAAAATGTCGTTGTGCTGCCATGCAAAAGTAGCCTAATATTTCTACTGAATGGGGTAGGTATTTGACTTTGTTTATTTAAATGCAGATACCATTAGCCTAAACATATTTGGATGCACATTTCAGTTATATCGTAAGGATTAATTTTATAATACAATGCATATATTCTGACAGTCCTTCAAGTATTAGTAGTTATTGCCTATTGGACTATTCATAACTTGTATTTCAAAGATTTATAATGAGCGGGATGCACTCGACGTTTTAAGTGCTACATTCGGTAGCTGTTACTTTGTGCATGACAGCATCCCAATAGTTCACTGTAAATATAAACTGAGCTTGACGAGATTCCCATCGCCAAGCAATCGTATGATGATAGACCCAGCAAGCATCACTCGTTATATTCGACAACATGTCTATACCAGTCCTTGATTTTCATTACTGCCTTGAAACGCCTAGTTCTTTGTTTTGAAGAAAAAAAAACGTCTCCCCCCCCCCCCCCCTTTCCGCTTGCGCCGACGTCATCATAGGCCAATATCACGGTGCATTTTTTTTTTCACCGAGTATAACACACACCTCTCTCCCCCTCACAGCAAGCGCCAACAACGGTCACCCAAGGCCCAAGGCCAATAACACGCAGAACGGTGGATTTTTTTTCAATGAGTATATACCCTACCCACCCGCCGCCTTACAGCATACCGCTAGTCTTTACAAACGGGGTTAAAAGTTTAACTTGGAGTTCAATAAGGGGAGAGGATGGTATTGAAACAACGATGTTCTTTAATATGTTTAATAGTACAAATACATAGTAAAAAATATACTTACCTACTTCTATAGCATCATACATAATTTTATAATTAGCAAATTAATTAATTAATTAAGTCTAATGATAATGAAGGGAGATAGTTTATTTTGGTTAAGGCACGACACACAACACTATGCGTGCGTGGTATGTGGCCTGACCGACCTAAAAGGAGATTGTTTATATTATTGTTTTGAGTTTATATTTAACTCAATGCAACGAGCCCGCCGGTTGGTTGAGGCCACGCCGGGGGGACGATCTGACCGGGATTCAAAGGGTCGATTCTAAATATCATCCGGAACTGTTTGTCCATAAAATTGGCCGAGGCTAGACTAGAGTAGAAGAGTAAGTACTAAGTAAGTAGTTAAGGGGCCTACTAATATGAAAAAAAGGTGAATTAGGCCTACTAAATTTTAGCAATTATTTCACATTTTTAAGATGATTTATGGTTTGAAAGTTTCAAAAATGTTTCAAAGTTTCATTGATGTAGAATCTACCTGTTTTTAAACACTTGTGTTAAAACTTTTCAGTAATAATATAATTTTTTAATAGTGTTTTGGGTATCGGCAGTTTGCGGTAAAAACATGACCTGAAAACTCCCACTGGTTTTGCATACTAATAAGTTTTTTATATATGGTAAATTAAAATTAAATAGTTTAAAGGTCATTTCCTATTGTTAATTAAAAAGAAGAGTGGTTTTCCCTTTGTTTTGAGTGTTTTGCTATCTGATTGCATGCTGTTTCTGCTTTGGTCTTCCCCCTGAATCATGGTTAGTTTCAAATATGTTGGAATCTTGAATTTTTTAAAAGATAATTTTAGAGGAGAAATAGCAATTGAGCAGACATATCTTATGTATGTGGAAATATTTGTTTTTGGATATTTTAACTCCGACATTAGTTATACTTATATTCATTTAAAAGTAGTCACTGTATGTAGGTCATGTTGCCACCATTGTTATATTTATTCATCCTGATCTGCCGGCTTTTAGTTTTGATAAGCTAACAACAGTATTCTTATGTAATGTGCAAACAAATCTCCTAATTGTTGTTTTAAAAATATTTTAATTTTCAATATAGGCCCCTACCTATCTTTCATTTTTTCATCTCTAGTTTTGCTTGAAGTACAATTTTGCCAAATATGTTTTTCTTAAAATTTAACTTTGAGAGACCAAACAAGAATCAGGCATAGGTTACCTATCTGTTGATATACACTAGCTATGATATATGTGTTAACTAATTTTAAGTTTTCAAGTTCTACTTACCCTTATTTATAGTTATATGCAGAAAATTAGAATTCATACACACATAAAATCATTGATCTGATAACTTCAATTCACTATTAACAAAATGGCTTAAAGATGGACTCTACTTCACCTGCCCAAAATAATCAGTGAGTTATATGCACATTACAATGCTCAAGTGGTTTACTTTACAATTCTGACTATGAAGTTGTTTCATTCAATGTATTTATGTAAAACACTGCTTTAGAAACATTTTCATATTTGCTCCGCACACAATGTTTTGGGGTATGGGGCAATAATGGGGAGGAAGCCAACACAAAAATATACTTTCTGTATTATTTTTCTTCAGTTCAACAACATATACAAGTTCTATATATCACTATAGCTAAACTAAACAAATATAAACAACATACAACTGCAAATAAAAATACTATGCTCTATTTATTCAGGAATACCATGACTTGTCAAAAATGGCCGATGCAAAAAAAAAGGGGATTCCACCGCTAACAAAAAATGTCACAAAAAATATATATTTGAGCTAGAAAGAAAATCTTTTTTGTTTTGTTTTGATTCTACAAGAATATTTTATTTTTATGTGATGACTTTTTTTTTACCAAAATCCCTAGCAATAAATAAAGACTAGTGATGTTTTCATCAGATGCAACCAAGCTTATTTATTTAAGCAGCCATCTTAAGATTTTTTTTTTTGTAAAATTATAGTTAGAGATTCAGGGGTAAACCACTCTAATTTACAGATGGCCACTGTTTATATGCAAATCTTGCTTGCAAACATTGCTGTTTAAAGTTAATTTCTGGCCTATATTGATATGTATATATAGCCATTGATTTTTATTTATTATTCAGTTATCTATTATATTTGACACAGTATATCACAATATACTTGTATTAAAGCCATAGCAATGAGGCAACTTTTTTCCATAACTAGCCTCGGCCGATTTTACACACCTAAAATGATAGATCACCAAAATTTTATATGTTAAATATTAAATTTAATTTTCAGAAATTAGTCTATTCTGCTAGTAGTAACTGTATTCTAGATCTAATAATTTTAGTTTGTTAATTAATCTCATTGCCATACAATTAATTACATAAAAAACACTTTTACATCTTTTAATAATCGCTAGGCCATAAGAATAAGCTTAAATAAATAAATGAGATGGCTGACAACTTGTATTGTAGATCTAGACTTTATGCCTTATGAACCTATTTAAATATAATAATTTTTAGTAGTCTAAATTTTTTTGTAGATACTTCACTAGTATAAATACTTGTTCTCATTCATTATTAACCATTATACCACCTAGAGTCTAGAGAAAAGGAAATGTTTCTCGGTTATTGTTTTTTTTTTTTAAGTTACATTACAGATTAGACTAACTAATGTAGACTAGTTGTTAAATCTGTTAAATTAGATTTAAGAAATTGATATTCACTACATTTTTTACAACCCTAGTTATACTTTGACCACAGAATTTGAAAGATGAGCCGAGTAGATCACCAGCCTTTACCACAATCTGATGAGGGTGCACCAGACTTTGATCAGCCAGCAGAGCCAGAGCAGGTTTCTGTATCTTTGATTGGATCAGGTCCAACTAGAGGAGACCGTAAGAATGGATACTCGACTTATAACGACCCTGACTTTGAAAACAGCTCTGAAAACCCATACAAAGACACAACAGAGAGTGACATCAACCTGCGTCACATTCCCTTAGGCGACCTAGTGCCAAGGCCTTGGAAAACATTTGAACAAGTAATGATTGCATCCTATGTCAGTGTAATTTTTTTTATTATCACTGGTCTTCTTGCTGTCAGGTATGCCAGAAGAGGGAAGAGACACCAGTCTAAGGGCTTGATGGGAATGGCGCAGAAGGATTTAAAGATGGCTGTTTGGTGCATCTATGCAAGTATTATACTTGGTGTCCTTGTATTCCTAATCATTATTCCTGTTGCAGCTTCTGTTCAGTAATCTGAGCATCATGTATTTTTGTCCTACAAAAAAGCTACTGCATTTTATATATCTCAATATTTTTATTGTAACTTGCCACTTGATCTTTTTGCAACTGAAAGCCATACAATATCATTAATGGAAAAACTTGTTAGAAATTATTAACAGAATTTTAAAATTCTGCTTAAAATTTTTTAGCTTCACTTGCAATTTATTTAAAGAATTACTGCAGTTCTAGCCATATTGAAAAGCTGTTTTAAATTTTTACAATACCAAAGTCATTTTGTGTGAGTTAATGTACCATTTTTTAATATTTCATTGTAAATTGTTTCATTGCGTAATGTGATTAACACCACTAGAAATATCTCTGATGCCTTCAAAAATGCTAACCATGGGTCACTTATAAAGTTGTGGTTGTGCCTTATATTGTCCATGGTAATGTCCATCTAATGTAATATTGCTCAAAACCATCTTTAAGAAATATTGGAATTAATATGCTCGGCCTCAACATTATTCTTTAGAAATGGGAAACAACTCATTTTTTTCTCTGTTTGGGATGTAATTTTACAATGAAAGACTGGATACTTCTATAATTAGAGGATTTTTAAAGTAATTCTTAACAATTGATGCAAGACTTTTTAAAAATTGCATTGATATTGTCATGGTCAATAATTATTCCAAGCTAGAAGGCTTGTCTAACTTTAGTGTTTTGTTTATGATTTGTTTTTGGTGAAGGTATTTTCAGCAATTTTAATACATTTACTAGGCTGTCTCAGGCTTCTAAATAATGTATATTCTATATTGTATTAAGGACGTCTATGATGTTTTTACAATGTATATTGCTACCCTTCCATTTTGATTAAATAAGTAGTAATTGATTAAGTAGAAGTAGTACTCAGTTTATGCAGCAGTTAACATCCTGCTAGTGCCATTGTAAACTAAATAGGCTTAAACCTTAGTTTTAAAACACTAACTCTTTTTTTTTTTGCCCTTTTTGTAATTGATTAGAATGAAGGTAATTTCAAAGTTTTATAGACAATGTAGGTAATTTTGTAGATAAGATGTTCGTTCACCTTTTATTTCAATCAGCACCAATTTCTTTTTGCATTATTTTTTGCACCATGTTCAGTTATTACTTTATCCATTAAATATATACACAAATACTAGTAGTATAAAGTAAAAAGATTGAATATAGCAAATCAAGATGTATGTAGATATAGGCACAAATTTACAGTAGTGTGATTAATATATTATCACTAAAGTTCCAAACAACAATTTTATCAGGATATTAGCATTAGGTATGCCCTTTTTATAATGTTAAAACATGAACTGTATGTGATTTCTAATTTAATACATCTGTTGTTTACTAATTACCAATAATGTTAATACATGTTTCACATTCCTATATATTTGATCTTCAAAAAAACAGCATACATTTTGTGTACAGACCATAAAGATTTTTGGAAAACTATAAGATAATTAGTATTATTTTATGTTCCATTTAGTTTTGAAAGCTTTTAAGTTTATTGTATTCTTTCATTAGGAAGTGAGCTGTTTACTACAGAGGAATGAGGTACATAGCTTTTAATATGTAAGATATTTTCTGAATGTTGTACAATGTCCTCATACCTATTCCAGTTGATGCTTTTCTCTTTGCAATAATTTTAAAATTGTAAATATCATGTTGTGTTAAAGCTGTTTTGAATTTGTGGCCCTGATTTATAAAAACTAAAATTAGTTTTGAAATAATTTTGAAGAATGTTTTATCAGACAGGTGTAAAATGGTATATATTTGTTGCAGTTAATATCATTGTTTATTGAAATAAATAAGCTATCATTAAGATCTGTGAAGTTTCATGAATTTAATCCATTTTAAATTTTTATGAATTATTAATCAACTCATCCTAAAAATTCGCAAGTAATGATATTTTTTTTATGAATTATTAATGATAAAAAGCAGATTTATCAACTCATCCTAAAAATTCGCAAGTAATGATATTGTACATTTTGACATGATAAATAAGAGAGGTAATAAATTAAGCATGCTCCTGTTGTTTTGTTTTCTGAAAGTAATTTCAAAACTGCAGTTGGTTTCTTTAAATTAACTAATTTAAAATATAAAAAAGATTATCATGTTTTAATCTTTATTTCAGCTTTATAACAAATGCTTTTATTACTTCTAATATTGATGTGTCCAGTTGTTTGAATTTCATACACCTTTCCAGTATAAAAATAAAGTAGCAGACCAAAGTTGGATTATATTAGTGAAAAATAGTGCTCAATTGTAATATATTTAATATAATAAAGATGTATATGTTTTTATTTGTCTACTTATTTTAACCATTTACTCATTATTATAATGGTACACAAAAATCTAACTGAAGAAGAATATGTTTATTTTTTTTCTTGACAAAATAACCCCTAGTCATCTATGTACATTATTTATCTTTATTTTTCAATTAGTCAGAGTAAACATTTCCACTATATTATTCCAGACCTGTGTTTTAATTAGGAGGTTTAGATTGCAGATAGAATGACATTAAAGTTGCTCATTAGTTTTTACAATTTTCTCTATTTTGAAAAGCTCTTAATTATATAAAGAAAAGTAGTTATCTTGCTCAAAGCATTTCTTTGGTTAGTAAAATTATTATCTTATTGCCATTAAGCACTTTGTAAAAAAATTTTAAGTCGCTACTTTTTCTAATATGTAAGTTGGAACACACTTTGTTGTTTGTATTTTTTATACACCTCTTGTTTCTTAGCTCCTGTATTTATTTGCCTGCTTGGCTATGGGTTTATCAGATACTAAAGCCATCAAGTCCACACATTAAACGTTTCTTTACATTTAATCTTTCAACATTCACAGGCTACATTTTTTAAAATAGCTGGCAGTTGTGGGTTTTTTTGTAATTAAAAATAATATATAGCAGTAATTTTAAAACAATTGTTTTTGTGTAATTCAGTTTGATATTTACCTTTTAAAGCTGTAAGATATTAGCAAAATGTACATTTACTATAATAAATGTTTATGATTTCTTTTGGAATTGTTAATTGCCAAATTTTACATACATTTTTGTGATTATTTTGATTGTTAGAAAGCTGTTCATTATTTATCTGTAATTAAAATAGCAATATTTTTAATATTTATACTTTGTAGAAAACATTGATTGTCTCATTTAATGATTATTTTTTTTAGTTACTGATGTTCTATCCTTAGAAATTCAGCATGGAATTAAAGTATTTACTAAAGATAATTTATCCCAGAATATTTTATGTTTCTTTTTATTAAACTACAAAGTTGTTTTGGAAATTTAGTTAATGTTATAGTTTATTTTTTCACCATCCTTCATTTAATTTACTATTTATTAAAGTCCTGTGAAATCTATTTTACTATGATCTTAAAACTATCCAAGTTAACTTTTGCTCATTAAAAACAACACAGATTACTTGATCCATCCAATATTTGAAAATAGAAAGTTTAGGTACTATTTTCTAGGTTTCTGATCACATGAAATATTAAGTAATTACTTTTCCTTTTTTTAATTTGAAAATAAACTAACTTTATTTTTAGGACTGTTAATTTGTTACCTTAGTGTTAGTGAAAATGTATATTATATTTGTGTTGTGACTTTTCAGTTTTCAAGTTTTTAAAGCAACATTTTGTTCACAAGAAGTGATTTTTTTTTTTATTCACTGTCTAAACACAACTTTTTTGTGTCATTATTTTTTGTTTGAAATCTCAGAAAAAGTCTACATGCATAATTTTCAATAAGTGTTCTTATTTCTGGTTATTAAATTAATTTTTTTGAGTTCTATTAAATTTAAAAATATTAATATTATTTGTTTATATTTTCACTTCTGTATCATTATACAGCTGAAATACGAACTTGGAACGTCAGACTTGAAAGGAAGTGTTATATTAAATCAGTAAATGTTTTTTAAGTTCTTAAAAGAATCTTCAAACTATTAGTGTCCATTTAATGCAAATTTTTTAGCCCTAATAGAACTTTGCAATAAATATATCAGCTGTTATAAAGAAATGCTATTTAATGAAGGGTCACATAGTTATAATTCATAAAAAATGAGATAAGAATATTTTAATAGTTTTCTATTATGCATCATGACTTTTGTCACAATACATTTTGTTTTACCAATTCTATCTTTAGTGCTAGTGCTATGTGATGGCATGTATCTAAAATAATTTATTTCCAGTTTCAAAGTTACCAACGTTAAGATGAATTTTAAGAAGTAAAAAGAAAACACTTGCAATTTAATTTCAATCCATAAAAATGAGCTTTTTTTAAAAGTTTTCATTTCTGAAAGTAAAATTTATTGAACATGTTCACACAATATTTGCTCATTTTTTGTGTTTAGTCCTGACGTTCCAACTGGCGTCTGTTTGTTGATCAGTGATTTACAGCTTGTGCACACAGGAAATGAAATGTAAGGGCATGGGCGGGTCAGTTGATTGTTGGTGCTACAATATTTGAATGTAACTGCTACCAAAGTCATATTGCTTTATACACAGTTTCCAAATTTATATCTGTTACAAAAATGTTGAATAATTATTGTAATCTGTAGCAGCCATTTTCAATTGGCCATGCATGCAATAAAATTGTCCAGAAATTTTTTTTATCTTCATAAACTTTTTTAACAACTGTATTTATTGTCATTCAAACTGTTTATGGAAATGGAATATAAAGATCATAAGAAACAAACTAGTTTTGTTTGATGACTAGCTGTTGTGATGTTATTCAAAGTATTTTATTGGCTTGTAGTGTTTGTGTGTGGTTTGGTGGCCGTAAGACTCATTGGTTAGACATCTGCTGTTGCTTTTCAAAAAGTTCTTTCCATATCCTATTTTATGCCCTGTTAAAAGGCACGTCTATCTACTGATGCAAGGTTGATTACTGCAGGCACCACACTTAGTCGGTGGTCCTGTATTGTGGAGAGGAGTTGTGCGAGGACAAATTCAATGAATGCTAGTGTCAGCACCGGTGTATCCCACAACTTTCACCCCTTGGCCGGATAAAAAAAAATGTTTGCCTCAAGTAATTTCAAAGGAGGATAATCCAAAAGATAGATTTCGAGATATTCTCGTGTACAATCTAGATCAAAGAAATCCTCTGAACCTTAACCTTTGACACTGTCTCACATAGGTGAGAAAATAAAACAAAAAGAAGGATCGGCGAAACGACGAAATTTTAATTGCTTTAAACTAGCGAATCCTTACGTTCGTACAGTGCAAAAAGTAGGCTTTAAATGACATCATGTTATTTCAGACGAAGTTTGCGCCCCTCCCATCTCATTTTAAAATTTCACCCCCCCCCCCCTTCAACATCACCATTTATGTGGGCCCCTTGTGAAGCATTGGGACACGACCACACCTCTTCATCGGTTCTGTGCGATTCTTCCAAGTTGGGTCCACGACATCCCGGCTGCTTCTTCTTCTTCACTGACAGCTGACTTTTTCCACATTTGTTTTGGTCAACTTACTTTCCTCTTTCCTTGGGGATTTCAATCTAGTGCCTATCAGTTGATGTTTCTAGTTAATCTACGCAAGGTGTGTCCAATCCAACCCCATCTGCACTTCAATATTTCTTAGCAAAGGGTCTTGTCCAGTTTTTCTCCACAGTTCGGCATTGGTAATTCTTTTAGGGCCACCTGATGCAGTAGCGTAGCGAGGGGGGGGGGGGGGAGCGGGAGGGGACATATGTCCCCGGCGGCGCCGACATTAGGGGCGCCAAAATGCGTTGGAAAAATAAATTGAAAGGTTGAGGGGGGTGAAAATCGAAAGTTTGAGGGGGGGGGTGCAAAGTGCAAATGGAAATCTCGAGGGGGGAGGGGGGTGCAAATCGAAATCTCGAAGGGGGGTGCAAATCGAAAAGTTTGTCCCCGGGAGCCGGGAAGGGTCGCTACTCCTCTGACCTGATGTTCAATATGCGGCGGAGACACTAGTAAAAGTATGCTATATTATATTTTGTATAGAAATTCTATTCTAAGACTGTTGCAGTAAGCTCGAACCAATTAATAACCTCAAGAGTTAAATCACTCTTTTACTTATCATTTTAATTTATCTGTCCACTTTGTGTCCCCCCCCCCCCTCCATCCAGTCACGCTGATGTTCGCACACCCCCGTCTTATGACGCTTTTGATAAAAATATATAGATCTATATTTAAAAAAAAACATTGTTCATTTTAGATGTCTATAATTTCCCAATTGTTGTATCCAAAATAGTTTAGGGAATTAAGTCTCTCTTAAAACACACCCTAGGTCCACTAATGCCAATGTGTCTCGTCGTTATCCTTTGTTTAATTTCAACGTAATTCCAATTCATATTCTATTTGTCCAGCATTTTCGATATTGGGACAAAATGTTGTGGGTTTTTTTTCAGTTTGGAACTAGAGTTTGGCCTCGCGTTAATTTAAAGCTAAAATATGCTGAAATCTTGTTGTGTTTTTGGCAATGCTAACGTGGGCTAGAAAGAAAACATCAATAATTTAGATTTCTTCTGAAAATAACAGATGTTACAGTGAATAAAATCAATAACACATAGGCCAAAGATTTGATTGTCGTAATCGTGGTAGTTCAATCAATTATTATCACAACTTGCTGGTGATAATAGGGCCCTCGGGGCTGTATTATTGACACCATTGGGGCGCGGCTGTTGTACGCCCCTCGAGCGGCTCAAAAAATAAAATAAAAACTATTTGACACGCTGCCCGGGCTGACGGAGTGCAACATCTGTGGAGGGTGGGGGAGTAAGTGGCACGTCTGCTCTGGTGGGGCTGCGGTCGACAATTTATGAGATTACCGTTGGGGCAAGCAGAGGGGGGGGGGGGGGGGGATATGCAGAGTCGGTGGTAAAAATTGATGGGTTCGTACCTAGTACAGTATTGGAAAACCCTCACATGCAGCATTGAGCCCCTCTATAAAAAAACACGCACATAATGAACCTTCAATTAAAATGAAAATTTTAAAAATTGTGGTCTTACTACGATGAGGGGGGTGGGGTCTAAAAGTTGAGGCAGCTATTATTGTCATGGTTGTTGTTTTTAAATTAAATTGATTTTCGTTTTATCGTGTGTTGGGGTAAAGCCATGTGACGCTGCTTTAAGAGGTTTTTTTTTTCCTTTGCGGGTTGGCGGAGGGGGGGGGGGGGGGTCCTTCCTTTTTGTATGTCGATGACGATATAGATAGGTATAAATGGCTAAAATTGCATGAGGTCATTTTGAGTTTTCTTTATATTTTTCTTATTAAATTTGTTTCGTCAAATTATAACATGTTATGAACATATTTTTTGCTGAATTGCTGCACATATTTTCAGCATAAGCATAAGACTGTGCTTTTGATTTTTGCAGTAAGATTTGGAAAGGACGGCATGGTCGACTGCTAAACCAAAAGGTTTGAGTTCGGATCCATTCTTGAGTCCATTTAATAAAAGCGGTTAAGCATAGTGCTAACCACACTATCCCTTTCATTTACCGAGGTCACAGAAACAGGCAGACCCTTCCCGGCGCCCGGGGACAAACTTTTCCATTTGCACCCCCCCCCCCTCGAGATTTCCATTTGCACCACCCCCCCCCCCCTCAAACTTTCGATTTGCACCCCCCTCAACCTTTCAATCTATTTTTCCAACCAACATATGTCCCCCCCGCCCCCCCCCCCCCCCCCCCCTCGCTACGCTACTGGAAACAGGTGAACTCTACTTCATCTACCCCTTGGACCGCCTGGTTCAAAAAGGTGACTGTTTTTTTGAGTGATTTTGGAGTAGGGCGCCAGTCTCCAAAGGTACCACGTAGGCTGCTGTGTTCGGGCTTTTCAATCCAATTTTTTTTTCATTCCAGCTTCGGATGGCTTAAAACTGAATTTATTGTGTAACTTACCTTATGATTGTTCATTTCTTGATGCCTAACTATTCCTTTCAGTTATTGTACTGATAAATCAATGAAATATTCAAAGCTTTTTTTAAAAAGTATATAGACTATATTTTTCTCCTTCTACTTCAATTGAAACAAATGGTCGTGTTTTGAATGTATAGAACATCTGTGGACTTGTTTTTCCTATGAACAAACAAAAGCTAATCCTTGGCTAATACTTCAAATAGAATGGTTTAATAAACAGAATATTTTCTTTTTAAAAAGCCACAAGTGGGGACATTTTTGCTGCAATGATAATCCATCAATATACAGGCGGTGTTTTTCTTTTTCAAAGAAGTTTTATGATAATTGGTAATAGCAGGATCAAACAATTCTAATAGCGAAAGTTGTGCTGGGCTATTAATTTTGTCACGGTTGGCTGCGTGGGTAGGTATACACTTGAAACACTTCAGTGGAAGAAAGCATCACAGGAATAAACATTCAATAGAAACCTCCATCTATTACTTACGATAGATACAAGATTTCACCATGAAAACAGTGTGATGAAATTGATTTGATTTCTTTAAAGTGACTATTAAATAAAAACGTCGGTGTAGGTCTATTAATGGCGATAGATATCACTTTTAAGCATAACAGCGTAATGCACTAATTTTTTTTTTTTACATTGACAGGTTGTTTTTTTTTCATTTTAGAAATGAAGTCGTCTAAGTGTGGGGGTCTTGTTGTTTATTGTAATGTTTGGTGCAGGGAGAAAGGTAATAAGGTTAGGTGTTAGGGGGATGGGTAAGCTCCCCCCCCCCGATTCCTAAAGAAAACAAAGAAGACAAAATTGAGGATATATTATAATATATCGTTCCAAGGTGTAAGATATTAAGAAAGGCCAGGATACACGAGATACACATTTTAAAACAAAACAAAAACCCTTCATCTATTCATTAAATACAACTTTATTTCAGTTTCAAAATTATTTTATAGCATAACACAGAAAAACGATTACCAGTCTTATAATTTCTATTTATTTAGATTATCATCATATGTACATTATACACAGCATACAATGCAGCAATGTTGAATAATTTACAACAGAACATCATTTAGTAAATAAATTAGTAAATATCTTCAAGTAGTTCTGAACAACTGATGAAAAATTTAAATAGTCTTAATCACATGTTTAAATATAATGTTACACAGACTAAAGTTTACGTTTAGTTGTAGTCAAACAACAAATACTAATGTTACAAGTATCTGAACAGTGTATAGTGTTATGTGGTTGATGTACTGATGGGACACACCTTAACATACTTTATCTAATTCAGAAATTTTAATAAGTCAGAGGTTCATTAATTGAAACATATCCATACTGTTTTAATTTTCATTGTTAAGAAATGTAAAATTTTAACATTTTAGATAAAACACCACACACATTAAATCTAGAAAACAAAAACCGAGCAAAGAAATAAAAGGTGAAAATCACTTGAAGTATATAAGGCACTTTTCAACTTTCTAAAAAACACGAATCAACATAAATAACACACGTCTCAAATAAACAGTTAATGAAGTTTGTGTTAAAATGATGAACAAGTTTAGTACTGCTAAAGAAATATATCTTAGCATGTAACAAACAGCATAACCGCATTAAAACAATTGTAAAAACATAAGTTCATTAAATTTATTAGGTCATCAAGTTTTGTTTTAAAAAATTAAAAAGCAATATATAAAAAACAAATATAACTTGTTTTTAAGGCTACAAACTTCACATAAATTTGTTTACAAAACAATATGTGAGAAATGAGCAATGGTTATTGTTCGATCATATCAGCGGGATTCCCCCATTCTATACTTTCGTCCATCATTTCAACCCCACTTTCATAATTTCGATGGTTATCACCACCTTCGTCTTCATCATCCTCCAAATCATCGTCGTCGTCGTCCTCCATCTCGTCGTGGATGAGGTGAAGTAGCTCGTCTGCTAGTGCCCTGACTCGGGGGTCTTCGTGGAACCTGCAAGACTCGATAGAGAGGAGAATGTCCGCGAAGTTGCCTGAAGCCACAGAGGTCGTGTCAATACCAGGCAAAAAGTTGGCCTTCAGCTCGAGGATGGAGCTGATTTGTTGCGGCGCAGGAGGGGCGGGGACTTGTGGGTACTCTAGAGCGCGAGACACGGGCTGAAATACAGGAGACGTGCGTGGCTCTGATGGAAGGTCAACTGACTGGGCTGGGATATAGTCTGGGGAGACAGCATTGAAGCCAGCCGATGAGCAAGGTGAAAGGTTAAATGGATGGGATGACAGGGTAGCTGAAGGAACACTTGGGTGGACGTTTTGCTGCTCGGTCGACTGAAGTCTGACTGGTGAGGATGAAGCAAGTGGAGACGACTGACCCAGAGGCTGGAGATACTGTAGGAGCTCCTCTGGTATCAAATGGTCTTCAGAGATCAACCTGCACGTGCCTGGTTCTTCTTGACACTGGAAACGATTGTTTGTGAAACTGTCACGTTGTTTTAATGCCTGAGTGGCCAGTTGTTTTAAACTCATTACAGAAGACGATTGGTCAGTTGTGGCAGAGGTCAGCAGTGAAGATTCCAAAGATTGGAAGACGTCGTCGTGTTTAACAAAGTCTATGGACTCGGCGCGATGGCAGATCTGAGATAAGTCATTCTCTGAGCTCGTCGACTGGCACGACTTGTCTGCTAGGGTTGACAACGTCATGTCGGAATCCACAGCGGAAGTGTCTGAGACGGAACTGTTGGCTGAGCGTGACGTCACTGGCGACACAGCAGACGCCGTGTGGTAGGACGAGAAACCGCAGCCTTGAGTGAAGACGTTGTGCTGGCTTGCGAGCCAAACATCGTTGGCGTTGTTCGTGGAGCTGGGCTCCCGGTCGTCTGAACTGGTCCTTGATTTCTTGCACAGAATCGTACCGACGTTGTTCAGGTGGGATTGCAGCCCCAGCACCAGCGGGTTGTTGTCCTCAACCATCTCAACCTCCGTCAGGAATCGAATCACCTCCGACGCGCAGTCTTTGAAGCCTTCGAAAAACAAGTTCTGCGGCGTTACCCTGGGCAGCAGCATGTGTTTAGACCAAGACTGGGGCGACGGGAGGGTGGCAGATGTCGGCTGCCCGAGCGAGTGAAGCGATTCCAGACCCGGGCACATTTTGGAGGCGAACATTACCGGCGTCTCCACCGAGTAGCTTTCAGCTCTCTGGCTAGTATTCTCCATCATTGTTTGAGTTCTCTTCACCATTGAATCAGAAATATCTGCAAGAGAAAATGTACAGGTGAAATTAACACAAAAAATACATTGACACTCTTATATAAAAACATTTAATAAGAACGTTGTATTTGTTTGATCGCACGTGTAAATCATGTTTTATATCACAACCAAACCTAACATTGACTGCAACATGGATATTAAACACATATTTTTTATATTTCTCAAAACGCTATATTGAATAGCTTATACATAGAGAGCCGAGCGGAAAATAATTACCTTGTACCGTTTTTTTTTAAAACTGCCTTTATAGAGCTTTTATCAAACTTTATACATTTTACGTCTTTTAATGCAAGACGAAAAAAAAACCTCGTTTTGCCTACTATACGTGTGAGATATTTACTAAGCAACACCTTAACAATTGACATTGACTGAGCGATCGGCGAGACGATTTATAACTTTATAAAGGTGAGGGGGGGGGGGGGTAACTTCAAGGGTTTATAGATGAAATGAAGTGACGCTCAGAAGAGCCCAGCTAATACACGAGAAACACAAATACAAAAAAAAAACAGTCTCCTCAAAGTACACCCATGCTATATTACAGAAAACTGTCGAGGCCGAACTCACTTTGTATACAAGTATTGAAAGGAGTGCCGCTTCAAGTTCGAAGGAAGGAAAAAAAGACTTTAAAGGCATAAAAAACATTAGATTTGAAACAGGTTGCCAGATAAACAAATTAATGTCACTTTAATCAAACTAATTAGACCCTTCACTATTTTACTGCGTCGAGAAGCCTCGTAAATTGTATAATTAACCCGAGAATCGCATCTTTTTTTTTTTTAAATAAATTTAAACATGAGAAATGTGTATGTTTGGTTTTGATTTTCGTCCAAGTGTCATTTGCGCCTGTTATCAGGCTAGGGGTATACGATCCTATCGAGACAAACGCCGTTTGTCAATGGATGTTGTTTATCCCGAGCTGAATTCAATACGGAGAGCGTTACTTGTACTCTTTAACCCCAGCACTCGACGTTTTTATCTTTCTTTTTAATCAGCTTTTTAAAACCAGGTACTTGCAGTTGCTCCGTTTGAAATGGAGTAGGCGGTTTTCGTTGCTTTTAATATTGATATTGGCGTTATTCTTTTTGGAAACTTAATAAAAATAACGATGTCTAGAAAATTATTTTTTTTTAAAACAAAGGAGGTTTTTTTAATACTATTGTGCAAAATGAACTATTTCTCTTATCCCCGAAAAGCCAGTATAAAATATATAATCCGAAAACGGGCTAAAATCAGTAAGCAAGTTGTTTTTAGAAGTTATTTTTACTATTTCAAACGGGACTTGCTAGAAAACTACAATGTGTTTAATTCCATTTTTTTTAGTATCGACATTTTTATTTTGAAAATCTCCCCTGGAAACCAACGAAGGGCGTTAACTATTCATTGTGTCCACGTGGTTCATAGACATTTAAATTTGATATTGTATTTTTTCCCTTCGCTGTTTGCTCGCCGGGGAAACCGGCACGCCACGCCTGAGGAATTCATGCGCCGAAATTCATTTCTTACTGATGGACTATAAAACGCTACTTATCTATTGAATGGGCTTGTTATAAACAAATATTGGGAGAAAACGGTTAAGATACGTGGATAAATAGGGATCTCGGGGGTTGTCCACGTGTTAAACAACACCCACCGCGCCAGGGTCAACCCCACAGTGCAAACCCTGGCAGCGTGGAAATGGCAATTGAGCCGGTAAATCGCGCACTTAACATCCCACGACGGCCGTTACTTCCTTACGGCCGTACGAGTGTGTTCGCAGAGAAATTCTAAAACGCTTTTTTTAACTGCTTCGGGGAAACTTTCAATGGGTAATATTTGGTACAGCCTTTTGTAGAAGTTTCTTCTTTAAACAACGGTACAGAACCGTGCATACAGACCTACTTATCGCGAAGGTTACTATTTTTTAAAAGCTCCATAAAACTTTCGAAAGTAACTTCATTTTAGAAAGTACGTTTCGGTTAATTATAATGTAAATGTTAATTAAATTTAATATTTATAAGGGTAGAAAAATGAATACAACAACTAAGTGAACGTCACTTACCAAGGAAAAAAAACGAAATGTTAAAATTCTGTTAATACTGAAATATGTTATAGCCTACTTATAGCGTTTTAAATTTCACATAAAGCTGTGGCTCAAGTTGCACAACCTTACGTACAAGAGCAGTGTAAGATCTCTATCTTCAGACGTTGGCCATCAAACCCTCGCACTTTGGTGGGAAGGGGGAGGGGTGCTTGAAAAGCTGGGGGAGTGGGGTTAAAAATAATTTTCTGCTCCTTTGCGGTGTTTTTTTTCTTCTGGCTCTAGTTGATGTCTTCAGACAGGCCAGTAAATTAAAAACCTTATCAGATTTCTTAGAGGCTTTATCGTATTGCTCTCTTGTATAAGAGAAAGGTGACAAGGGAGGGAAGAAATACGACTATCAACAAAGTACCCGTTACCCATAATCTTTCCTGCTGACAAAATCAGATGTTCTTATTCTAAGTTACACGTCTCCTCCACTTTATTGCCGGTTTTATTTTTTAAACAACCCGAACCATGTTTTGTTTCTGATAAACTAGACCTAAATGCTTTTGTTTACACTGAAAATGACTAATATTAGTATATTATAATTATCCCCCTTGAATATCCTTATGAACATAAAATTGCTCTCCCCTTTAATTTTGTCGAAGTATTAAGAAACATAATTTTTTTCAATATTATTTTATCGTCTCCTTTAAGAATGTGAGAAGTGGTGTGCCGTATTTAAAACAAACTTGATAAGATAATCAACGAAGCGCCGTATAAGGATAAATATTACAAATACATGCTAACTTAAATAAATTAGATTTCCAGCCTTTTTTACGGATAGTGTAAATGGACAAAGAAAACATGCCATTTTTTTCCTTATTTAAAAAAAAAAAATCCCATAACATCAGAATTGTAAGGCGTATTGTCCCGGTGAACCGTTAAGGCCCTCTCAGACAAATACAAAATACCTGCGATACAGTCCAAGTCTCGCTAAAGCCTCGGGATACTAGGTACGCTGTGCTACCACGAGCCACGGAACGGCTTGACGGTACTTGGGGTGTAGACGATAACCTGAGAACCACTGGGTCAAACATTTAACGGTGTGATTGGGTTAAGGTGTTAATCCAAGAAGCACTTTTAATTCTGTATGTGTGTGATGCAATACGATAACAAAATATTTCTAGGCTAGTACAAAATTAAACTCACATTAAGTACAACTGTTGGATGTAGGTTGATTTATTTAAATTACGATTTTGAAATTTCGACATAAAGCATAATTTGCTTAAACTATATGCTACTTTAATATATATATATATATATATATATATATGTATATATATATATATATATATATATATATATATATATATATATATATATATATATATATATATATATATATATATATATATATCAAACGCATAATATTACATAAAAATGTATAAAACATTATCGGCTACCTTGACATTTGCATTAGTGCCCACCCCCCTCCCCTACTCTGTCTACCATGCCTGTCTCAAACATGCATACCTCACATTTCCATTTTACAAGTTGTCGACCTTTCTTGTTGTAGTGGATCACAATTTTTTCTCCCCACAATGTAGAAAAACTTGAGGGATCTACGAATAATATTTCTATAAGCCAATCATTGTGATTATATGCACGCAGAGTCACTTCACCCCCCCCCCCTCCTCCCCCACCACCCCGTTACAAGTTCGTTTTTTCCCCCCAAGTTCTCCCTTGTTGTTGACGCGATACTTGTCCGAATAGGCGACATTGTTGTCTGGGCAACAACCGAGGACTGTCGAATAACCCAAACCAATGGCTTGTCTTTGGGGATGGGGGGGGGGGCATTTTGGTAATGTCTGTAGTGTGTGTATGTGTGTATCCGCATTCGTCGCACTTGGCAGAAGCACACACACGCACACACACACACACACATATATATATATATATATATATATATATATATATATATATATATATATATATATATATATATATATATATATATATACTTAAGCACCTGCGTTTTTATCGATATTATAGTCTAGATAACTCAATACAGCAAGTTAATATCAATTTTAAATCCCTAAATATAAGCCAGCTACTGTCACGTGCCACTGCTTAGTATAACTGAGAGCTACAACCACATTGAAGGACATTCTTGTAAAAGTTGTACAACAGCCCCCCCTGCACTAACCGGTACCCTGCACTAACAGTATTTCTTCCAGACTTTTTTCTCCGGGGGGGGGGGGGGGGGAGCACTTGATATTTTCGTGGGGGTGTCAACATTTTCCGGGAGGGGGGGGGCGGACATTGGTAAAAGTATGTTTTCTATATAAATTCCATTTCGTTCGAGGGGAGGGGGGTAGATTTTCTATGGGAGGGTAGGGCACCATATTTTTATCGTCAGTAAATGTACGTTAAATTTAAACATACGGAAACAGACTTGTATGTAGGCACAGTGGCGTAGCCAGGATCGTCTCAAGGGGGGGGGGTCCAATTTTTACCCGGGGACAAACTTTCGATTTGCACCCTCCCCCCCTCATACTTTATATATATATATACCGAGGGGTCTATGGGGGGGGGGTTATGACCCTCTAACCCCCCTGCCTACGCCACTGTGTATGCAGGTTGCATACCACCCACAAACACACTTGTACGTAGGCAGCTTTCAACACCACCCCCACAAACAGACTTGTATGTAAGTAGTATATAAGGTCACATTTGATTATCATTTGTGGAGCCTCTGAAGCAATGAATATAGGCAGCTTCAACACCACACACACACGGACTTTTATGTAGGCAGCTTTCAACACCACCCCCACACACTTGTATGTAGGCAGCTTTCAACACCCCCACAAACAGACTTGTATGTAGGCAGCTTTCAACACCACCCACACACAGACTTGTATGTAAGTAGTATATAAGGTCACATTTGATTATCATTTGTGGAGCCACTGAAGCAATGAATAT